AATATGATTGATTACTTTGTGTCACAGTTTCACTTTTTCACTTTCCATTTCATGTACACTCAGGATCATAATCAGTCACATCTTAGTCCATTCAGAGTCTAGCTGAGCTGTCTCAAGCCCACAAGCTTAAGGTAATAGTTCAGTAAAAAATGAACCCCTTACAGCAAATGTAGTCACTCAGTTTGGTGTCTGAAGTTTGCTTCTTTAAATTTTAAATAAACTTGCTTGCTATTTTTAACTATGCGATGTACAGTTGTCTATTTTTACAGATGAGTCATACTAGAATTGCAGTGGTAAACAGGGTATGAATGTTGGATGTAACTCAAGTGTAAAATGTAGTCTGTTATATTAAACAACAGCTGTAAAGATTTAACACCGTTGACCATAAGAGCACTGTCAAAAAGACTGAAATCAGAGTTTTTCTAAAATTTAGTTGACTCTCACTTTAGTATAAATTCACATTCTACATAGGTTAAAATTACAATTATTACATCCATGTTATTTTCTTTTAATTTGAAAATCACCTATTGAGTAACACCACTGACGCAAACTTTTTGCAACATATATTGCTGTCAGAGTTTTAACCTAAATCATCAAAAAAAGAAAAAAATAAACACTAAGAGTTAGTATTTTGAGATATCCATACAAAGTAGTTCTTTGTTTTTTTATAGCTTCTTTTTTAAATTCTGTAACACCACTGACAAAAATGATTGGGACAAGATTTATTAGCAGAATAAAATTATACTTATATAACTAAAACTTTTTCAACATAAGACAGACAACATTTTAATGCAGTTTTACAATGTAAATTGAAAAACAGGCAACAAGTTGTTGTTTCACATAAAAACAGTATTTCAGCATCTGTGAAGTCACTGCTGAGTCAAGCACACGATTAAAAACATCACATACATCAGCTTTCTGTGGCTATTCTTATTTTCATGGATTTGTGGGACACCTTTGAGGCAAATGTATCATGATTTAGGCCTGCAGTTAGCAGCATGCTAGTATGGTGAGATGCAAGCTTCTATTACTTGGCTGACTGACTATATTTGGTGAGGGGGGAAACTGTTTAAATTAGATTTTTCAGCTGAACCAGCTCATTTTTAAATGAACACAAACCACTGATGTGTAAAGCCACTGTTCTTTTAGCAGTGGCTCCAACTGGTCCCAAAAACAGTATCAAATACTCCTGTCCTAGCTGGCATTAGTCCAGCACCCAGTAAAGAGTGTGTCCAGTACTCACTACTGTCAGCTCCTCATCAGCATGCTGCAATAAAGCAGGCCACTGCAGGCCTTTGAAGCTCTCTGCTAATGAGGGCTGTATTTCAATCACCTGAGGCAGAATACAGCCCCCCCCCACCACCCCCCACTATCACACGTCTGAAGATGTATGGGCAAATATCACATTCCTTTCCACAGGAAACTAGACCCATTCAGTATTCGTTAGCATAATTATCCGGGTTTTCCCTCTTCTTAGGAAATTCTTTTTTGTCTGTCGACATTCTTAACATTAAAGGGCCCATATCATGGAAAAATTAACTTCCCTCCCTTTTCTTTTTTTTAAATAAAGGAGTTTGAAGTAATATGTAAACATTGTCAAAGGCTCAAAATGCACCATTCACTACCCAGTCCAAAGGTCCATATGTAGAAACTAAGTTGCAGCTTGTTTTGAAGTAGTTTTTGTGAAAATGAAAACCAACTGATTTACATATATCTACATATTCGGCTTACAGCAGTTTATCCCTGCCTATTCCTGGATTTAAGTTCTACACAGCGTTTAAGCTCTGAGTGCTTTTTTAATAATTCACAATACAGGACGGAATCAGAACAGAGCCCATTAACATACATTAGTCTTAAAGGCACAGTAACAGAAACAGCCTGTTAAAATCTAAGGGATAAAGAGTGGTTGGAAAATTGTCATGTAAAGTTTAACAATGACCATTTTTGGTTTATAAAAGCACACAAATATTATAAGCCAACCTCAAAAGAAAAAGCAAAATACAAGAAAAATGTATTTGTAAAGTTACATAAATTGGCATGCATTTACAGTCATAAGCAAAAGTTTGAACATCCCTGGTCTAATGATGGTCTAAAATCTTTGCTGATTTTCTAAGTAAAAATAACTATTCTAACTATTATAACACATTCTATACATTTTTTTTTTAATTGTAGTGCAAATTTTCGATTTATTTGCTGAGTTTAACACATTGGGGGTGAAAAAAACAACACATAAAACATAAAATGTGCCATAACTATGGTACAGGCCACATTTTATGTTTTATTTTTTGTTAATTTCAGCAAATGCACAGTTATTGTGCATTAAAATGTACAGAAGTCTGTTGTGGATGTGCACTTAAATGAACAAAACATGTCATCTGACTGAGGCGCCCAAACTTTTTCATGCGACTGTATGTGCCCTTATTCTATGAGGAGCGCCAATAAAGTGTTCATCTGTCCACGAGACACTGCATCACCCAAACTTCAGGAGATACGGCATCAGCAGCTAAACTAAGCACCTTCATGCTTACTTCACATACACATCCATTTTCCAGTTGCTCCCCAGGACTGAAAATTTAGACTACATTTCTAGGACGTGTGGGATCCCTGATTATTATAAAGACATCTCACAAACCGCTACTGAAGTTTGAACAATGACAGATGGCATCCTTATGTTGTTACATAAGCATGTTCATGATTTTGATTGTATGTAATAATTGTCATCTGTCTGAATTTATGACTCTGGGTTTACCTCATCTGTGTGGAGCGCCGTTGATGAGGATCAGATTAGCTGGAGGTATGTTCATTGAGGAGCCCAAAAGATGTGGTACACTTGTTATAGAAAATGTCTTTGCAAGCTAGAACAGGTCAGCGGAGGCCCCTGGGGTACCTCAGCAATCACACGCCAGAGAAATGCTTAGAGAGCCTTGTTATTGTCAAGGCCATCCAGAGGGGAGACATAACAATGCTTGGGTGTGCGGCTGATGGTGAATTGTGGCCGATAGGAGTTATTTTAAGACCTGTTTCCATGGTCATAGATCAGGCCTGTCCAAGCACTTGTAATAACAGCTGCCAAAACCACACAGTGGCTGTTCATTGTTGGGGAGTTTGTGGTCAGTTGTGCAACTTTAGCTGAATATTAATGGAAATAAACCAGCCTGGCATGTCAGTGATTTCTACAAATAACTACTGAATATCCAGCTAAACTTTGGTTAATATTAGTACCTCTAACTTGCTTTTCCTAACACTGTTGCCTGATTAACCCTATATTGTATTCTCTCTCACAATTCAATGCTTTTCATAGCATGACTGGCCAAATGTAGCTTGAGATCCAGTTTCATGGCATGACTGGATGAGCCAGATTGAGTCTTCTTTCAGGATGACAAACCTCTGAATGAAACCCAGTTGAAACGTTTTAGCTTGAAATATCACTGTTTAGCCAGCGAGCATCTGAATATTCACTGTTTCTCATTCAGTTGGGGCTTTAAGTAGGCTGGAGTAGCTCTTACACACATTATACTGAGATTTGCTTTGTTACACTTGTTAAATTAGCTGGTTAAAAATTATTATTACGAACCCCTTCGTATCATTTAGTTCTTAATCCTTAATGGTTTGAACCTGCTAATGGGTTCTTAGACTTAAAGGGGCTAATTTAGTGTAATAATAATTCATAATTCACTTCTGAAGTGATGTGGTACCATTTACACTGTAGAAACCAGCCTGAGGGCTTCTAACTCGTAAACCTACCATCAGTCGCACACATCTATTAAACTTCCCAAAGTACTAATTCCAATCTAGGACTTGTTTGCCATCCTAATGCATGCTGCTGCAGGGGCAGAGTGGACCTGAGTGGACCTGAGTGGCACAGACCACTTCCTCAGAAACAGACTCCGTGCAGTCTCGCCTCTCTGCTCTCTGCTGCAGGCGTCTTCACTTTAAATTCCTAAGTACACTAAGATGTGCAGTCCAAACCTGATGTAATTCCAGCCTTAGATGTATGGGAATCAAAGGCTGAAGGTAAGTCCCACTCACTGTCGGGCAGGACTGAGCTCAGAGGTGCGTGTCAAAAAGGGGGCGTGTTTTATAGCCCTCTTAATTATAGGGGGCGTTTCTTTACGGTTATGTGCCTGCAAAAGGAGGGGTGTCTGCAGAGTTATGTATATTGTAGTGGGTGTGTCTTCAGACTACACCCTGCCTGCGAGGGACGTGTCTTCAGGTCTGTATACCTTCAGAGTCATGTGTTAGCAGGGGGCGTATCCTACACCTTATATGCTTTTGGGGCATCTTCTTGATTATACACATATCTTCATGGTTGTCAGCCAACAGGGGGCGTGTCTTCAGGGTCATGTGTCAGCAGGTGGTGTAACCTACACCTTATGCCTATGGGGCATCTTCATGATTACACGCATATCTATGAAGGAGCGTGTCCTCGTGGTTGTGAGCCAACAAGGGGCGTGCCTTCAGGGTCATGTGTCAGCAGGGGGCGTATCCTACACCTTAAATGCCTATGGGGCATCTTCATAATTATAGGCTATGTACACAGGGGGCATGTCCTCATGGTTGTCAGCCAACAGGAGGCGTGCCTTCAGAATTATGTGTCAGCAGGGGGCGTATCCTACACCTTATATGCCTATGGGGCGTTTCCATGATTATACACTTATGTATGTAGGGGGCGTGTCCTGATGGTTGTGAGCCAACAAGGGGCGTGTCTTCAGGGTCATGTGTCAGCAGAGGGCGTACCCTACACTTTAAGCCTATGGGGCATCTTCATGCTTACATGCTATGTACGCAGGGGACATGTCCTCATAGTTGTCAGCCAACAGGAGGCGTGCTTTCAGAATCATGTGTCAGCAGGGGACGTATCCTACACCTTATATGCCTATAAGGGCATCTTCATTAAATATATGCATATGTACGCGGGGGCGTGTCGTCATAGTTGTGACCCAACAGGGGGCGTGTCTTGAGAGTTATACTTGCAGCGGAGGAGTCTTTAACTTATGTCTTTAGGTTGTGTGTCGACAGTGGACATGCTTTCATGGGTGTGTTTCTGCAGAGGGCGTGTCTTGGAGGTTATGCATATATTTCCAGTTGTGTGGGCGTGTCTTCGGGGGTTTAACGTCTACAGGGGGCGTGTCTTCATGGTTATTTGTCTGCAAGGAGCATGTCCACAGAGGTATGCGTCTGAAAGGATTGGTAAGAGTTCATGTAATTTGTCTGCACAGGGCGTGTCTTCAGGGTTGTATGTCTTGAGGGGGCGTATCTTCAGGGTTATTTGCCGTACGGAGGGCGTGTCTTTATAGCTGAAGGGGCAGCGCTGCAGAAGGGAAGCGCTGAGGCTCAGCTGCAGGTGGGCTGCCATACAGGCTACAAATCTCAGGTCAGTGTGAACTGAAGCATAGCTTACCTCTAGCTTTGGTCACGCTTTTATTGCCCTGAAGGCAGACGCAGACTTTCCTGCAGAGCTGCTTTAATCTTCCTTTGGCGTTCATTAAGACTAGAGAGCTGGAGCTCATGTGTACTTTCTTTAGTCACCTGGCAGACAGTGGGACAGACCTTGATGATCAGAAGTTATTACCTGTATGACGCATTGTGTCTGTTATCTTTGTGACTGAAATGAGACCATATTCATTTCTGATTCACTTCTCAGGTGATCTGTACTACACCAAAGGAACCGGTCTGGGGGTCTGGTGGACTAAAGAGAGTGGGCTATTCTTCACGTGACCGTGGCGAGCCAAAAAATCCAGGTGGATGAAACGTGCTGCACTTCAGCTCAGTATGCCGTCGTTTTTCTCTGCCCAGCTCAAGAAATGGAATAAATCACCTGTTTGCCGGCAGCGTTGATGGTTATATGGAGCTGAACCGTCCAGTCTGTCTGTATTCGCTCCTGCTGCTCCTTCAAAACTTCTCCTCGCTAGGAGCTTCATAAGGATGAAACTGCGTCCTCCGTTTCTGCTGTGAGAGCCTTTGGTCAGCCCGTTCTCTCTCCTCGAGGATTTCACCCATGTGAGAAGAGCTAGGACTTTGGATTGCGGCTGGTTGATGAGCAAAGAGCAAAAGCTATCAGATAGCATGGGTGCAATCAAGTCCACGGACCGCTTGGAAGGAAAGACCCTTGGGATCCCATCGTTCCCAGGCTGCGTTTTAGCAGCTGACTCCTGAAACTGGATATTTAAAACATTTTCTGTCTCTGTGCTACACTTGACTAAGAACTAGGATGCCAAAATCATACAGCAGGTGAGTGTTTTATGAAGATTTCTTCGATTTCCTTTGGTGTTTGAAAGCACTGCTGTTGAGAACATGGTCTAGTGGTGGTAAGTGGTCTTCAGTCAAGATGCCAAATAAATCTGTCTGTCTTTGGCACATGTGTAGTTTGGTGTGAGAACAAATTCATTGACCTTCTAGTTAAAGTCACAGAGGATGTTCAATCCTAGCAATTCATGGATTTTCTTTCTTCTTCTTCAAAATGTCCTTATGAGAAGATATTCAGGTCCTTGGAGTTATGGTTCATCACTGATATATCTGTAAACATCTTTATTACGTTGAATGTTCTGTGTGGTGATGTAGGGGGCAGTGATGGGCTGGAGGTTAGGGAACCAGCCTTCTGACCAGAAGGTTGCCAGTTTGATCCCCCGAGCCGGCAGTATGTGACTGAAGTGCTCTTGAGCAAGGCACCTAACCCCCAACTGCCCTCCGGGCGCTGTGGATAGGGCTGCCTGCTGCCTTGGGCAAGTGTGCTCACTGCCCACTAGTGTGTATGCGGTGTTTCACTGCATGGATGGGTTAAATGCAGAGGTGAAATTTTGCCTTCATTACAGCTTCTTTTCTGGACACTTGCTTTCAGTTTCTCAAAGAAATCTGCAGGGATATTTTTCCACACCTCCAAAGTTCAGCCTTAGAAGTTGGCTGCATTGTCTTTTTCTCACAATCCAAATAATCCCAACTGCAAAATTAGACTCAGTCCGTAAGTCCGTCAGTCCATACAACCTCATTCCACATCTCAGATGTCCAGTTTCGGTGCAAATGTTCTTCCTTTTTTGGTCTTTTTCAATTTCCTTTTCTCAGTGAGGCTTCTTGACAGCTACGCATCCTTTCAGACCCTTAGTGCTGAGTCGTCTTCTCACAGTGGAAAGATGGACAGAAACGCCTGTGGATGTTTTCAGATCTGAAGCAGCTTGATTTTCTCCTCTCTCTCAAAGATAAGAGCTTTAATCAGAATTCGAATCACTTTATTTTGCCAAGTAGGATACAGATGCACAAATTTGTCTTGGTGAGTGCACACATGATGATCTGACCGGTTTGATGGTCAACCAGGTCTTATACAGTACATGGTACAATTTTCTCTGTGTCTTTTAATAATTTTTTCATACTCCAGTTTTAGAAACTCGCTTATGTTCCTTTGACAAGAAAATACGTTCCTATATCAGAAGTATCTTCCTTGGCCAATTTAGATGCACATGAGAAAGAAACATTAAGGCAGCTGAGGTGAGTTTGGGTAGTTGCTTATGTGAATATTAGTCTCTTTGATGTCAGTGACCCGTTTGAAATGTTTCGTTGGGAGGACACAACTGTAACTTGCACAGAAGTAAAGAGTGGACAAATCACATACTGAATTTTGATATTATCTTTACTTATTAAGGATTTTATATAAGTTTCTTTTAAATATGTTTTTTAGTAGATAATATATGCTGAAAAATTAATTACTTGTACTTAAAGGCTGCTTTGACTTGAAATGAAATAAGCAAAAGGGTGGTCTCTGACTTTTGCACAGTACTGTATGTGGAAGGCTATCATTCATGCAAAAGGTGCTAAACTGTTGGCGGAGGGGGGCAGTTTGGCCTCTTTCTATTTGAGAAAGCCTCTTTTGAGAAAGAGGCTTATTTATATGGAGGCAACATATATTTAATCATAAATCCAAGACAAATTACTGTTGTCAGAGATCTAAAGAGATTTAACGTGGCTTTAAACTATGCCAGTAAGTTCAAATTTATGCTTTTTCTTCTTGTAATTGAATGTTTGCAAATGCTTAAGCAGGTTTTACATGAGTGGAGCAAGTAATATTTTGCAAACATATGTATTACACCTGTGAAAGAGTGCTATTTCTATGTAGTCTGTGCAGTCGTGTCTGTTTGAGCGCACACAGCAGGGGTCACATACTCACCTGATCGCTGTACATTCGAACAATGCACTGTTACTTACCTAAATGAACTCGGCTTATGACCTTGTCATAGTCTTTTAACAGCGGGCCTCTTGACCCCAGGAGGCCTTTAACCTCAATTCAGACATGTAGGACAGTTCTCTGCATGTTGTGGTGTTGTGGTTTTTGTCTTGGACGCCAGACATCATGGGTTCCTCATACAACTCCAGGAAAAGTCAATATGCAACTGGTTAGTAAGACAAAGCACAGGTTTGATACATTGTAGAAACAGTTGTTTGAGAAATCACAGACATGTATGTTGATATTCTGGCCTTGAAGTTAATGCAGCTTCATGATAGGGGTGGGCGATATGGCAAAAAGAGAATAATACAATGCCAGAAGACCTTTTTTCATGACACAAAATATCATCGATGGCCAGAAAAAAGACAAGTATCTCCCTTTTTTGCAATTTATAGTTTTCTGCCTAAATGCATGAGCTCAGCAGCTGTTCTTTACATTAAGTGAATATTTCATCATGATTGGACCAATAGAAATGCTTCGAATAAAATCTCTTTACATTAACTTACACTGAAAGTAAAGAACGTTCTTGTAAATTTATTATTTTGGAGATAGTTGTTCAGAGAAACTGGAGGATAGTCAAAGAAAAGTGGAAGTATGGAGCCAAATATATACTTTAGGTCAAAAAGCATCCTCAAATGTCTAAAAGTCCATTTTAAACAACTATGTTTAAAGTTTGCTTTGTTTTGTGGTAATAATTGGCAAAAAAGGCAATCACACCAACGAGCAGCACACGAAAGCTGAACATCTTAGCTAAAAGAAAATTTCGTTTTCAGCAAATATTTCCTGGATTCAATGCAATCATACCTTAATTCATGTTGTGCACATTTTTGTAAGTTTGCCCTGCTGACCTAGAAGTTAACACTATGCCAACCAACCCTGTTCTACTCTACTTTCAAAATGAAAATGTAAGGAGTAAAATGTGTGCTTTTTCTGTTGGGAGTGTAATTGACAAAGTATCCAGTTTCACGAACACTCGAGTAAAGTACAAATCTTCCAAAATAGTTACTGAAATTTAATTACATAAGTATTTTCCACCCCTGTATTTTTCTGGAATGTCAACTTAGAACTGACACAGTGCAAAACCAGCAAAACCATAGTTCATGTATTTAAAAAAATACTGAAAAACTACTACAAGTACAATAATGTACTTTTTATTCAGTGTAACGAGGAGCAAGAGGAAAAGTAAATAACTGGTAAAAACTGGGCTAACATCCAATCAGCTCCTTATTACTCTGTGGTTTATAGTTTGACATCGCAGCACTACTAGTCAGGTTGTTGTTGTTTACAATCAATCTAGATCAGGGCTGCCCAAATTTGGTCTGTGAGGATGTTTGATTTGTCCCGCCTTACCATACCCCAACCTTACGCCCTCACACAATGAGAGGACACATAAGTATTTTATGCAATGTATTGTATAACTTATCAAATTGTATGTTATTAATATATTATGTATATTAGTAACAAAATACAGTGTAATATAAAATTAATTAAATAAATTAAAAACACAATTCGAAGCCTACCTGCTTACATTTGTTTTACCCCCATGACAAAAAGTTTGGGCACTCGTGGTCTAAATCTTTTATGAAGCGTCCTGTTAGCCAGTGTTTTCAAAATACTCACAATAACTGTGATGTGCTCAGGAACATGTATTATGACAAAAGTTATTACAATACTAATAACATACAGTCAAAAAAAGTATGCATGCTCCAGATCAACTGACATAATGTGTTGATTTTCTATGTGAAAATAAGTAACACGTCCTTAACAGAGAACACAGTTCTGCACGTTTTTGTGCACAACTACTGTTTATTTGCTGAATTTAATATATTGGAAAAAACATCATCAAATAAATAAAAATTGTGCAGTTTTGCAGAAAATGGCATTTTTAAGTGTGTTCCCTGTAAAGGATGTGTTTTATTTCCCCACACTGATTTATACACTGTTGCATGAAATGAACCGCATGCCCTGCTCCTCAGAGGACAGTCTGATCACTGGGGTGTGGGAGAGATACGTATCGTTTAATTGGGTGACTGCCGCTATGGTGCACAGCCAAAATCAACCAATTTTGGAACAGAAGCGTTTGAACTTTAAGATAAGAACAAGATGTGAGAAATAAGCATGATTCCTGATAGAGGCTACGCTGTGGTCAGCCTTCCGAGACTGGGAAAGGAGAAGGATTTTTTTTTATTCTCTATCTTGTGTCATAGATGTTATATATACAGTGACAACACATCACTGCCAGGAACAAAAAGAGGGGTATTTCCCAAACTGTAAAGAGTTTTTGTGAAACGGCTAATTCAGTGAGTCATGTGTTTTGTGCCTTGTTTAGTGCTTTGAAGCTTTCTGCAGGAGCCAGGCTGGTTTACATTCACTAGACAGTCATTCTAAGAAGCACATAAACAGAGAAGCTATAGGATTCAGGGTTCAGCAGCTTTCAGGACGATTGATGCTCAGCAAGACGTTTTACACAGAGTTGCCAGTTTATTGGAAACTCTCTATCTAGCTACACTCACTGGCCATTTTATCAGAAACACCTACATATAGGCAGCCCCCCTCTACTAAACTGGGACGATAGTGTAAGTTTAGATAAATGATTATCATCTGCAGAATTATTGAGATAAGCAATGTGATTGTGATCCAAATGCAGTTATGAGGTACCACATGTGGACGTTGCAGAGCCTTAGCATATGGCTCGCATTTTCCCTGACGGCAATATAGTTTCCATATAACTACCAACTATTACTTAAAGGGGAAATTCACCAATTTTTCAAAATGTCTGCATAATTCAATCTTTGATATGTAAACAAAGAAATTCGCCACCACTGTAAAGCAATCTGAGTCAGTAAGTTTCTATAGAATGGTACATTTCACATCAAACCACTCTAAAACAGGGGTTGTGATGTTCACAACAGTGTGAGAAACCACAAAGGCAAGTCTATTTAAGATTACGTTAGGGTGAGTTCCCACCAATTTTTCAACATTTCTGCATGATTCAATCCTTGAGATGTGAACAGAGTCATTTAGGGTGGTTTGATGTGAAATAGTAAAGCAAATATAGCCATTTTATTTACTATCCAAAATTATCAGTGAAGCTGCACGTGTCTTCTGAGTTTGTATGTGTAATGTTGATAATAGTTAAAACAGTTGTAAATCTGAAAAAGTATGTTTTCTTTGGGAACTAATTTGCCTTATAACAACCTGCATGTACCTCTCTGGCATGAATAGATTTTAAAAAGTAATTTTTAGGCCCTAGGCTTATCTCAGAACTATTGTAGAATAATGTCTCAGGTGTCAGGCAGCATATTTATAACCATTTCATGTAATAATTGTCTGTGAGGGAGCTTTTAAAGGCACTCTTTGGATGGTTCCTATCTGGTTCCTATCACCACCACTGTGAACAATTCTGACTTGGTAAGTTTCTCTAGAATGGAGCATTTTGCATACTACATATGACATCTTAGTGATTGAATTTTACAGAAATTTCCAATGGGGGAAATTCCCAGTTAATAATTTACAATGATAATTATAATCTACACAGATGGCACGTTGCACTGTAAACATCCAGTAGTTCTCAGTGTTTGTTTTGCTGGAAACCAAAATATTGCTAAGCTGATGTGTTGGCACCCTTCTTCTGGAAAAGCGTGATCATTTTAGTGAACCAGATGTCTGAAGAGGTTGACACCTCTCTGGTTACTAATATATACTGCTGGATTCAAGACATTACATTTCATTCATTTCATTCAAGTTGAAACTAAAAAAGTTTTGTTAAATATATATATATGGGCTGCTTTTTCGATTTATGTTTGCAGTCAGGCCCCAAATATGAACACATATATAAAATCCTACACTCTTAAAAAGATTGAGAACACTCAAAGAACCCTTTGCTTGATTAAAGGGATCTTTGCATCATGAAATGGTTCTTCAGTTTGATTGAGAATGTACTATAGATTAGGTTCTATATAGAATCTTTTTGAAAATAGTTCTACATAGCACCCAAAAGGGTTCTTCTATTCTTACAAACTTGATACCATAACAACAGAAGAACCCTTTTGGGTGCTATATTGGACCCTTGTCAAAAGGTTCTAAATAGAACCATCTATAGCACATTCATGCATATTTTACATAAATCTGAAGAACACTTTCGTGATGCGAAGAACCCTTTAATCATGCAAAGGGTTCATTAAGGATTCTTGGTTCTATTGGGAACCATTTTCTTTAATAAAGAACCCTTGAATCTTTTTTTTTGAAGTGTATATTCAATATAGGCTTTGAATGAATGTGTAGATCTAATTCCTTAGAAAGCTATTTAATGATGCAGGCGTGTTGTGACAGTATCCATAACCGCATCACACATTTCACCACACAGTCCATGTGTTTTTGACACAACACTGAGAGTGAGAATAATCATCACATCTTAACAATATGCTTATCATGGAAACTTGTATCACGATAATTATGCCGCCCTAATTACCACTGTAAAGAAATAAGTTGGTAAGTTTCTAAAATTGTCTATTTTGCATTAGAATCACTTTGTTTACATTTCAACCATCAAAGTATGCAGAATATTTAAAAACACAACTTAAAAATGAATTTCTCCTTAGGGCTAAAGTTTGCAGTAGAGCAGCTAGAGATTGGTTGTGTTGTTAGGTGACTGCTGAGATGCTGGGAGACTGCTGAACTCTCGGCCCTCTCTCTTCGGGTGTGGAAGTTAATGATCCTGAGCGTACGGAGGGCATTCCTGACCTCGGCTCCTCTACCCTCGGGGCCTCGCGGTCGTGGCAGGTCCGGCTGAGCTATTTGTTGTTATTAATGGCGGATCTGTGACCCAGGGCCAAAGCGGCATTGTTAAGCAAGGCTAAGGAGTCCACATTCTCTCACCTCTGTCTAATAGGCTCTCACTGGGGGGGTTTACGGGTAATGTATGTGAGTGGGTGGTTGTCACTGACTTACACTGTTTGTTTTATCTGTCTCTAGGAAACTGTCTCTGTGCCAGTCGCTCACCCTCGTTACCCTGTTGGTGTCCCCAGTTTGCCTGTCCTCTCTGCACGTAAGACAACACCTGTCCCCTTTTTTCCCCTCCCAGACTCTCCTCATTAAGAAAGCCTATCTGCTTTGCCACGCCTGAATGGCACAGTTTGATACCGAACAACAACTCTGCACCATGTCAGCACAGTTTGTCCTCAGACTGCACAATTACCCTGAATTAATTTAAGTCCATATTACATCTAGAGTCCCGTCTCACTCAGGATAATTGGGACCTGCATAAAAAAAAAAAAAAGCTGAATAGAAATGCCTAAATCCTCTGCCGGGCTATTTTATAATGACATTTGAAAGTTGAGCTGACAGGATTGTTTGCATAGTGCTGAGCGTGGTAATAGTATATTCTGATTGGCATGTTTCCTTGTCACAGCTCACTTTAACTGTACTGTACTGTGTCTTATCAATGCTTCATTGCCATCTTTCAGCACCGTTTGTGTAGCTGTCAAGGACGGGGTACAGCTAGGGGAAAAAACTCTTTCTTTGATTGTTAATCTAACCTACCAGCGTTAAAAAGAGAATAGCTCTTCCTCACCTTCCCTTTCCAAGCTTCAATGGAAGCTGTAGGAGGGGCTGTATGTAGAGGTTAGAATTTACTGCTCCCCTCTTAGTGTCCTCTGGCCCCTACAGTCATTTTCCTCTCTCTGCTCATAAAGCAGAATTGCTACCATTCCACAAAACTGACTTATAGGCTTCTCTCTTAGATAGAGTCACGCTTGAGTTGTCATAAATACATTAACAAACACATAGCTCTTAATAGCACTTGCCAAATGTCCAGTGAACTATTCAAAAGTATGTGGACACCTATACAACACACCTATATGAGGTTGTAAGGCATCCTAAAACTATTGATGTTGGTATGAAGTTGCCACCCTTTGCGGCTTTAACAGCCTCTGTTTTCCTGGTAAGGTTTCCACATGATTTTAGAATGTGTGTGTGGGAATTTGTGCCCATTCCGATAAAAGAGCATTTGTGAGGTCAAGCACTGATGTTGGACGAGAAGTCTTTTGGAAATTGATGTTCCATTTCACCCCAAAGGTGCTAATTGGATTTGAGGTCAGGGCTCTATGCAGGCTACTGGAGTTCCTCCACATCAACTTGTCAAACCACATCTTATGGAGCTCGTTTTGTGCACAGTCATGCTGGAACAGTAAAGGGCCTTCCTCAAACTGCTGCCAAGTTGGAAGCTTATACTTGTCTAAAATGTCTTTGTATACTTTAGCATTAAAATTACCCTTGACTGAAACTAAAGGGCTGAATCCAAACCCTGAAAACAGCCCCAGCCCATTATCCCTCCTCCACCAAACTTTGCTGTTGGCAATATGCATGACAATAGGTGGAGTTCTCCTGCCATCTGCCAAACCCAGATTCGTCCATCAGACTGTTATATAGTGAAGCATGATTAATCACTCCAGAGAATACATTTCCACTGCTCGAGAGTCCAGTGGTGGCATGCTTTACATCACTCCAACCGATCTTAGGCTTATTTGCCGGTGGCCTTGGAAACCCATTTCATGAAGCTCCTGACACACGGTTCTTGTGCTCATGTTACTCCTAGAGACAGTTTGGAACTCAGCTGTGAGTGATGCAACAGAGGATGGATGATTTCTATACATTACATGCTTCAGTATTTGCATGGTCTACTGCTCTGAGGCTGAGCTGTGGTTTCTCCTAGGTGCAGCCATTTCACAGTAATAGCACTTACAGTTGACAGGAGCAGATCTAGCAGGACAGAAGCTTCACAAATTGTATTTGCAGAAGTGGCATCCTATGGCACCCGGTGCCATGTTTAAAGTCACTGAGCTCTTCACCATGACCCATTCTACTGCCAGTGTTTGTCTATAGAGATTGCATGGCAGTGCGTTTGATTTTTATACACCTGTTAGCAATGGATGCGAAGTACCTGAACTCAAAAAGTGTCCACATACTTTTGGTCATGCAGAAATACATCGGCATAATAAAAGGGAAAGTCAGAGGAATTAAGTGAAAAAAAAAAAAACTGGAGTTTAAAAAAATGATTAAAAGCTACAGAGAAAGTGGGACTCCTAACAACAGTGCAAGACCTGGAAGACCACCAAAACTGCCCCCATCAGATAGACCACACTTAAAGCTTTCATCTTTGAGAGAGAGAAGAAAATCAAGCTGCTTCAGATCTGAAGACATCCACAGGCGTTTCTGTCCATCTTTCCACTGTGAGAAGACAACTCAGCACAATGGGTCTGAAAGGATGTGAAGCTGTCAAGAAGACCCTCACTGGAAAAAAAAATGGACAGAAATATTACAGTTTGAAACTGGACATCTGAGATATGGAGTAAGGTTTTAGGGACTAATAAGTATAAATTTGTAATTGGGATTAATTGGATGGTGAGAAGCAGAAAATGCAACTTCTAAGACTGAACTTTGAAAAATGTCCCTACAGATTTCTTTAAAGAACTAAAAGCTGAAAGTCTTTTGAAAAGTGTGGAGGCTGTAGTCTCGACAAAGGGTGAACAAACTAAGTACTGAAAATTGTTGTGATATATTTAGCTGTTGAGGCTTCTGTGTGATCTTCTGATAAATGTTTTTTTCCCCTGACCCTGAAAATAAATAACTTGTACTCAAAAGCCATTTTGATTGGAAATTAATAAAGGTGGGTCTTTGCACAGTCCCGTAAAACCGATTTGGTCACATATAGAGGTATAAAATGATAAAGTGAGTTTCAAATAATAGGAATTCCAACTGTTGTATATACATACATATTCTGATCTTTATAGAACATGGACAGCACATTTTTAAATGAGTACTGTATCAGTACAGTGCACTTTGAATGACATGTTTGAGTTCCATATTGTGCTAACTATATGCACACAATTTATTGCCCAGCCCTAACGTGACGCCTTATTCACACCCAAATTCCTTTTTAACACACGTATTCCAAAGTCAACATTCTCCTGCACATTGTCTCTGGGAGAATACTGACCTTCTGAAGGTTAAAGGTCGATTTCGTTAATCCGGCTTGCCCACCGGCCCCATGGCGGATTATTATCAACACTAATTTGAGTCTTTGGCGCTGTAATGAGGCCAGTTTCAAGTCACTCTGTGAGAGAAAGCAGCCATAAATCTCTGGGGTGGTGATGGCAGAGCAGTCACGTCATCTTAAGACCTACGTGCTTCTAGCCACTCATTATCAGGGTGTTGTTCTGGACAGATTAAGAGACTAGCTAAGGCCAGAGACCTTCGGAACTCGCTCCACTTATCTTCATCTCCTTTGACGGAAAGACATTTTGATGTTAAACTCCACCCAGCTTTGGCTGGTCATAGATGTATTCAGCAGTGTGTACTTGGAGGAAACTGTAAGAGAGTCAGCACGAAAGACTGAAAGATGAGTCAGAGCAGGGAAGGTGAAACACACCTTTAGGGCTGGAAGTTTGAGATTCATGTTCAACGTAGTGTTTGTTTTGCTTAATCGTTTGTATTGTTGCACTGTGTTTACATTCCTCATATGTTCCTGAATGTTCTTCAGATTAGATTTATGAGACGCACCACGTTGGACGTTTTATTTTTAGCATGAAAACAACTGCTAGGGTTGGTTTAATTGACAGACATAGCAGGGTGTGCACTCTTGGCTTTCACACCCTCCTCGCTGTGAGGGAATGAGGGTGGCCCTCAGGGACCTGATGAAAGCTGCTGCCTCTCCTCGCTCTCTAGCTGCCTGTTTGTCTCGGATCACAGCCAGCGACAGATCTAAGAACTGCGCGGTAATGTTATCCCGCAGGACGATTAGTCCCCTTCTCCAGAGCGCTGATAGCAATACTGCATGTCTAATGGAGGATGACAGGGAAACCTCTGTGTTAGCGAACTAATGTGGCTTCCTCTGCTCAGCGCTGAGGGAATACACAAATGCATCTACAAATGTCAGAGGCAGTCTAGCATTGCCAATGAACAGGAAATGTTTGGGTTCCACCTGATATCAGGTATCATGAATGCCAGGGTTTGTTAGTACAGTGCGTGTCTAGTTGAACTGTCATAGTGCCTTTCAAGCCCAAAAAGGTAATAAAACTTTTAAAACTTGCAATAAAATTGCAGTGGCCGGTAGCCTAGTGGTGAGAGGGGTGAACCAGCAACCAGAAGGTCAAATCCCAGGACTGACTGGGCCCTTGGGCATGGCACTTAAAGGGGAATTCCAAACTCTCTGCATAATCCGTTCTTTGAGATGCAAACATAGTCATTCAGAGTGGTTTGATGTGAAATTGTTCGTCGTCAAGACCAGTGTTGGTGTCAAGGTCTACAACAAAAATATAGCTATTTTATGACCAGTGATGGTTCTCAAATAGAGGTAAACCAGAAAAAAAAAAATTCTTTTGGGACTATTTTATGTTACAGCACCCTGCATGTACCCCTCCACCATGAATGAATATAAAAAATAGTTTAGGCCAAAATCTGATTAAAAATGTCATGAAGCAACATATTCAAAATCATTTCATGTAATCACTTTCTGTGAGCAATTCTGACTCTGTACATTTCTCTAGAATGGAGCATTTCATATTAAAACACTTTGAATGGTATTGTTTACATTGTAATGATTAATTATGCAGACATTTTGAGAAATTTCTGGAATTTCCCTTTAACTCTCGACTACCCGCGCTGCTCTGCTGGTGATGCTGTGCTGCTCCCACGCTGGGCATAGTTAGGCAGCAAAATGACAAATTTCCATTGTAGGATCAATAAATCATAGCATATAACATTATAGAGTATAACCTACTATAAAATGTGTTGATTAAGTATTAAAATGTGTCTGGCTAAGCAACGTTGGACGCCATTGTAAGACTGTTAATATACACACATATGACAGCGTACTTCAGTTGAATTCTGTATAAAGTTATTAAAAAAAACATTGCGTTATTCATGGAATAATATTTGACTTGGCAACCCAGCCTGCTAGTAACGAGCTACATTGCTTAGTGTAAGAACAGTTGATAGCATTTATTGCAATTTTATTAATAATACATTTTCATGTTTTATTATTTTAATTTTTTATTACTTTTCACAATTATTAATACAGTTGTATTTAAAAGTTTGGCACCCCAGTGAAATGACGTTTTGCTGATTTTCTAAGTGAAAATAAGAGCACATTTCTGCACATTTTAATGCACAATCACTGTTTATTTGCCGAATTTAACATATTGGGGGGAAAAAAAATGTCCCGTGCAAAAGTTATGACACATTTGATATTTTATGGGTTTTGTTTCCCAATATGTTAAAGAAACTGCAAAAAATTGCAGAAAAAAGCTATTCTACTATTGTTCCCTGTAGAGGATGCAGTAACTTATTTTCACTTAGAAGATCAACAAAACATGTTAATTGTCTGGGGGTGTTCAAACTTTTTCACAACTTCGTATGTGTAACAAAGCAATAAGCCATGCAGAGAATCTCTTGGTTCTCAGTTACATTAGATGATGTTACTGCTGTAATGAAATAGGTGTTAGCTGAGCTATTTTGCATGTTTAATCAATGCCATGTCTTATCTCCGATGTCTCTTGTACTTCCGTTTCACAGTCAGCCAGACAGGCTGATGGGCGAGTTGTTGGTCGTTCATCTCGGGTACCGCGGCAGCTATTCTATCAGAACGAGTGGGCTCCTTGGAGTGGCTGGTCTGAGTGTTCCCGCTCCTGTGGAGGCGGGGCTTCCATCCGCAGACGCACCTGCATTGCCAGGTAAAGTGCAGAATGAATAGCAGGCCCCTTTTCACTTTACTCTTTACAGGTCCTTTTACTTTCAGTTTACTTCAAACGTGTGTATTATTTCCACAGGAATATATCAGCACAGTTATCACCAAGACTTAGAAAATTGACAGAATTGTTCATCTAAAGCAACGTTTTTTGATGTGTTCCAGGAATCCAGTTGGAGGGCCTTGTTTAGGTGATCCAAGACAATATAAAATCTGCAGTACTGAGGTACAGCCAAACCTGAGCTGATAAAAACAGAGTTCAGCAATTCTTACACCAGTGAATGATTATGCTGATGTGGCCTGTATACACATCAATTACTCACCCTCTTAACTCCAAAACTTACAGATTAGGTTCATAGTTGTTACTGAATAATCCAAAGTAGTTACTGAATAGCATTGCATTTATGACAAGACCTAGTCATATATTATTCATTATTTGAAGTACCATATCACAAAGAAAAGCTGGTAAATATAATAAATTAATAGTCATACCAGTAAAAATAAACCTAAATAAATACAGTAAAATACAATATGTCTCACCATGCATTTATAACAAGACCTTTTCATATAAAATGCTTATCACCATATCAGAAGGGAAAAAGTTATAATACCAGAAAAAATTAACATAAATAAGTAATAATATTCACATACATGTACAGATGGAGTTCACCACAACAGTATGTCTCACCACGACACTCATCTTTTAGGACTCCTAATAAAGCTTAAATATTTATCCCACTCGTGCCTGTACACGTCTAACTGAATAATGAGTCCTAAGATTAATAACAGAATAATAAGCCTAGATTCAATGCACTAATGTATTTCAGATTTTGATATTTTTTAAAATTAAAGTTGAAAAATGAGGATAAACCATTATAAAGTTCCTCTGTTTCAAAAGGGTCGTATTGCTAGATGAGAGTGTGTGTGGTAGATGAGAGTGTGTGTGGTACTCTTTATTGAGGAGCATATCAGCAAGGCAGTCCTGTATTAATCATGCAGAGACTGTAGATAAAGCAGAGCTGAGGTAATGCCTGAGCAAGTACAGACAGGCTGTGCATGTGTGCATATGCGTGTGTGTCCTGGCTTACATACAGCTCTGTGTCTTCTCACTCAGGATTGTCCTCCTGGGTCCACAGAGTTCAGAGAACTGCAATGCAAAGCTTTCGACGACAAACCACTGGTTGGTGGCAGCAGTTATAGGTGGACTACCTTTCATGGAGGTCAGTGAGTCATGATGTAGATATAGGCCTGTGACGTGAGACATTTTCACTTCAAGCTTTACTTAAAGCTTTTTTATGTGAGATTTTTTTGTTAAAAATGAAAAGACTTGGTATCCTCGTACTACTTTGAGTCACCCAGTAATACCTAAAATGTTTATTCAAAGCTGGGGTCAGTACCAGGGGCAGCACCTCACAGCACCGATATGAATGGCAGTGTATTGATAGCGTAGTGGATCAGTATTATGCAGCACATGGAAGATGGAAGATTCCATTTCAAGCAGGAATGCCATTCCTATGTCAATAAGGGCCCTAAGGCTAGACCCCTAACTGCATTCACCTACCATTAAAGTTAAATATCATCATTGTACAAAAGAAAAACGAGTAAAAACAGGAGAATCTAAAAACGTTCTTTCATTTTAATGTAAGTTAATGTAACTGGAGTTTATTCCAAAAAATGTTGCAGCATTTCCTTTGATCCATTCATGAAATGTTCACATGATATAAATGACAGCTACAGTGTTCAAATGAAGTAGCAAAATAAAAATCTGAAATATTTTTTTTTTAACTGACATTAAAAAAAAAAATTCTTCTGCATTTTGTTTGTATTACTTATTTTCACGAGAGAGGTCTCCAAATCCCCAAATGTACATAACACATATGTAGACCAGGGGTCGGCAACATGTGGCTCTTTTACTACCCTGTTGCGGCTTCACGGCAGAATCAATCATTTTTAGGTAAAAAATAAAATAATCCTTCTTTGCAGTGAAATAAAGTCCTTCTAACACAGTTTTAACACTAAATGGTCTTAAACAATGGAGTTACTGTTGCCTATAATTGCTTATTCACCCTTTAACCCTGAAGGTTGGTGCACAGACTGCTGGTTACCATAGCAATGCAGACAACAGTCTCACCTACCTAGTACCTAACGAAAAGGCAAAGAGAAAGATTTAAGACAAACATCGATAATTCAAAGACGAACTGACTTATTTGCCATTATAAGCACTCCGGCTCGTTTCCTGACAATAATCTGCAATGAGAAACTCCACCTTAAATGGTGTCGTTGTTACATTCTGGTGCCTCAGACACCATTTAAGGTGGACCGGAAGAATCTAAACAAGAACCTGGTAAACAAGAACCAGCCTCATAAAAAAATGAACGTTGAGAGACATTTTACAAGAAATTATTCAACTTTCGCAGAAAAGTTTATTGTCAGAGATGCGAGAAAAGCGATTATAGCTGAGCTAAAGCTTAAAGCAGAGCAAAGTATATCTGTGTTTTTGTTTATATTTTTTGTTCCATACTAGTACATTAGCACATACTGAGACATATTTACAGCCAAGATGGTAAAACGGGCATAAAATGTTGTGGCTTCCAAGGTGGTCAGATTTTTCTTAAAAGGACAAAATGGCTCTTCTTAACATTTGGGTTTCCGACCCCTGATATAAACGCAAAAAAAAACTAAAAACAGCACCATTGTAAACAGCAAGAACATCAATGAATAAGGATATATCACACTTCAGTAATCTTTTATTGATAAAACTCTGATAAAAGAAATCCATAATAAGTGCGTACTGATTTGTTTGCACGCTTGCTCAAAAATACTGCAGTGCATTCAACAATAAAGGCAGCATGAGGCTTATTTTACCCAGTGATAGCACAGTAGCACACAAAAAGCTCCAATTCCACATGCAGATGCATTTCACTATGACCAACATGCACATGGCCCAGCTGCTCTGGTGGCAGGTTTTAACAAGTTAAAGGGGACAGAGTCTCTAAATGCATTGCTAGCAAGAGATTAGCTTTGATTGGGTTTCTCACAGATGCATTTTACCATCTCTGTTTTTCTGCACGTTCTCCTGTCCCAGGCTCTGACCCCTGTGAACTCAGCTGCCTGGCCTTGGGCTACAATTTCTACTACAATTTTGGGCGAGTCCTGGATGGCACACCCTGCCAAACGGAGCCTGGAGCCATCTGTGTGAATGGCAAATGCCTGGTGAGTGACTAGACTGCAAGAAAAATGCCCAAGCAGCACGTTTTGTTTCAGCCCTCTTCCCTCTCCTACTTTTTACCTCTCTCCATTCTTTGCTCTCCTCTCCTCTCCTTGTTAATGATGTGCAGGTGTTGAAGTATCGGCCTGTTTGACGGTGAGTGTTAGCAAAAGGCCCAGGTCGTCATGTAAAGCAGAGTTTAGCTTATCAGACTTGACTCGGCCCTTCACATGCTATTAAACAACACAGTGTTGCAGAACTACAGAACCTTCAGCTGGAGAAAGCAGAATATTGGCCCCCCACGCACCTTCCCACCCTCTAAATTGCCCCACCACCTCCCATGTGGAGAACATTTCTCTCTCAAACCCTTCACCCTTTACGCTCAGGCACTTCGGAGTTTTTCTCATACCAAAGTGCAGTCAAATGTTTTAAGTTGTTAGTTTCCTTCTATGCTCAACGTCATGTTTTCATCAGATTTACCACCAAATTTTACTTTCACTATTAACATTTTGTCACTATTAATATGTCATGATGAATAGACCTGTGAAAAAAGTAAAAAAATATTATATTTGTATACTTAAAAAAAACATTACATTAATATGACATTTCCTAACAACAGCGACTATTTCTAAACGCACATACATGCACATTGAGGTGAATTCACACTGCAGCCCATCTGCAGTCAGCCCGCCTGTGGTATGTCAATGTAAATACCTGCAGGCTTTCCCAGTTACCCCCATACTATCAGGTGGACATGCTCTGCTGCAGCTGACTTGAAGACATCCACATGACCCTGCTGATGGCTCATGGTGCTGTCTCTTTTGTCCATTCTTAATGCATGAGATGACCTTGGCCTCTTCTCTTTGACAGAATTGTCAGAGAGGTCAGGCCTGAGTGCTGAAAGACATATATGGTGGCCCTGTGTTTGTGGAAACCCTTTGAGTTTTGATAGACAAAGCTGTGCGCTGTCTCATCTCCTTCCTTTTTTGGCCTGGAAAATTGGGAGGATTTCATACGAACAGGCAGCTGTTATAAAAATGGCACGGACTGTCCCAAGTCCGCTTTTTTAAGCATCAGCCTCGTTGGATAGGCTATGTTGTGGTCTGTAAAGCGGTGTGTGGTGATATGCTGCTGCTATTGGGTTTCTAATCCCTGTGTTTTGTTTGTGTGTCTGTATGTCTTTGTAGAAACCAGGCTGTGACCTGATCTTTGGCTCACAGCAGCAGGAGGACGCCTGCATGGTATGCGGAGGACACAACACCACCTGTCTCCATCACCACAGTGTCTACCAAAGCAACGGCCAGGAGTTCGGTCAGTACTGCTGGCTCCAACAACACATTCACAGGCACATCAGCACAGCTGGACGCAGCTGCTGTAAATTGTGCAACTTTTAATTTCTTAAAGGGGCAGTTCAGTCCAATAATGCTAACGTTACTAACTTTGAATAAACATGAACACCTACCAGTTAACATTATGCAAACAACATCATGCTAATTGGTGGATACTCACTTCCATTCATTTTCAGCTATGTTTGCCCTATTTATTTAAAATTCAAACCACCAATTCAGATTTCTTTACAGTGGTGGTGATAGGAACCAGGGGTCACGATGTCTACAATATAAATGTTGTCTTTTTTTATTTACCATCCAAAATGACCAGTGAACCTACACTGTTAGAAATAAAGGTTCTGTGCAGGTACATTTTTCGTTCATTAAGGTACAATGAGGGTATAACAGTGGTTTTAAGGTTAAACTGTGAACCTTAAATAAGTTTTTCCAGGTGAAAAGTATGTATTTTTACCTTTTCACAACCTAATATTTTAAAGCAGAACAATAAAATAAAAAGCCTGGAGACGAGACGGGGTGTGTGGAGTCAGTACAACTTTGAAGATATAATTTCAGTGGATTATGGTACAGTTATGTTCCCTGACTAAAGGTACTGAGATGTACCCTTGAGTTTCCCACCCCAGTGACAAGAGGAGTACTGCTCCACAGTTTCGGACCTTTAGTTAAAAATAAGCTATATATGTTGCTGTTGTCGGAACAAAACCTCCTATCTCCAAAATGACAATCTTACAGGAGAAGGAAAAAACATACTTTACTTTTAATGTAAGTCAATGGAACCAGACTTTTTTCCATGTTAATTTTGGCCATTTGCTTTGGTCCATTCATCATGAAATTTACATACAATGCAAAGGACAACAGGCATTTTCAAATTATGTCAAAAACTGAAAAACACCAGAAATGGAGATACAAGGTTTTTTCAGACAGCAGCAATATGTTATATATACTATATATATCGCTATATATCACTATACCCCAATCAGGTATAACATTATGACCACCTCCTTGTTTCTACGCTCATTGTCCATTTTATCAGCTCCACTTACTATATAGGTGCACTTTGTAGTTCTACAGTTACAGACTGTAGTCCATCTGTTTCTCTGCATACTTTGTTAGCCCCCTTTTACCCTGTTCTTCAGTGGTCAGGACTCCCATGGACCCTCACAGAGCAGGTGCTATTTGGGGTGATGGATCATTCTCAGCACTGCAGTAACACTGACGTGGTGGTGGTGTGTTAGTGTGTGTTGTGCTGGTACGAGTGATAAAATGGACAATGGGCATAGAAACAATTATGGGTTATGCCTGATCGGTGTATATCACTACTATATCACTACGCCCTACATGAACCCCTCCACCATAGATGTTTCAGGCCACAACGTTACCTCAAAACTGCCAAAAGACAACATTCCCTCAGTTTTGACGAAGATTCCAACATTCACTAGTGTTTTCTTTTTTGTGACGTGTTCTTAGGTAAGAACAGAATTTACACACACTCGAGAGCACAAAGGTGTGAACAAATCTGTGGTTTAAGAAGACGTCATGATTCTGACGTAGACTTTTTCTTAGGACTTTCCTAAAGAACACATTTAAGAAAAAACTTAGGAAGATATTGGGTGAATGAGGCCCAATGTTTATGCTGGTAACAGCTCTAGCATTGCTATTTTGGATCGGCTTGACAAATTTGTGGGTGGGCCAAACCTTGAATTTCGCTCCTGTTGGCAGATGGCTGCTGTTGTTACTACACAGCAGTAGTAATGATAACTAGCCATTGACCTCAGAACAGGAATGAACTGAAACATAAAACGTGGAACTCAAGATAGAAAATATCTCACTTTGCACAAGGAAGTGATAATGTCCAGTATAATTTTTAATACATTCATATGCCCTCTCTACTATTCTGCCATAATGCCTTCAGATTTAATGAGCTGCTACTTTTAGTCTTTGAATGAGTCATGTTCATATGCTTCCTGTCCATATGCGTTGGTGATTGTCTTGGAAGTGTTACAAATTTGTTTCCTATAATGAGCTGTTGTTTTATACTCAGAGGTCAAACTGAGATTTGATTGATTGCTTTTTTAAAAAATTGATTTTTTACTATGTCACATATTTCTTTAGTATATTTATCAATAAGGTTTTAATATTGAAAGTACATTTGAGCAGGCCTAGGAGATAACCATAGCCTTAATCATAGTGACAAAATAGGTGGGCCCAGTCACACTGCTGCCACTGGTCTCAGGCATCAGGCAGCAAAACCATTTCATGAAATACCTTTCAGAGAAGAAACTTTTAAAGGCATTAAAAGCTTTGTACATCTGGTTCCTATAACCACCACTGTAAACAGTTCTGACGAGTTTTTCTAGAACGGTGCATTTCACATCGAACACATCTCTTTATTCAGAAATATGAAAAGTCCTGTTTAACATTCCAGATTTCTATAACTTTCCATGCAGTTACTGAAATTAGGCTTTAGAATGTGGACATCCTTGAAGTATTAGATAAACACGTATGAAATCTGGCTGTTTTAGTGTGTACATGCAATATGAAGTTTTTACAGTATTATGTGGTGCTAGAAAAAAATAATCCCACCAGATAAAGGCAAAGCAGCAGTAGCGACCCTTTTTATTACTGTTTTGATTCCTTATTTCCATGGAAACTCAAAGAAAGTTATAACTATGAAATCATCCATTGTACTAAAGCATTAGTGTGAACTCTGCATTAGACAGGACAGCATTATAAACCTTAAGGTTTGGCTCTTGTCCAGGGAATTCTTCATCTAAGTGGTTCCTGTAGGATAGTGAGTGAGTGTTTGAAGAACACACACATACAGATATTCACACATGTCCACAGATTCATACGCGCACCACCTCACAGGGCGCCGACACCTCGGTTTGATCTCCACTGCGAGAAACAGTACCCTGTTTAAAAACCTCTTCACGTTGGCGAAGTGAAAATGCTCAGTATTTACGGAGGGGAAAACATGGAGATAATGCCAGCGTTGTCTGGCTCTATTGAGAAGCCTCGGTTTCCCCTCCTTGTGGACAGCTGGATTTCCCAGAGTGGGATAACAGATTGGGAGCCGCCAGCATGGTACGCTTTATAGAGGGTCAAAAGCCAATGGAGCATAGAGCGTTGCGGCCAAAGTCGTAATTCTCCAGTTCAGCTCCACATGCAGAGACTATGAAGCAAATGCACAGCTACAGGAAGAGCAGTCATAAAAGCACACCTATACTCTTTTTCCATTGCAGGAGAGGTGTATGCTTTCACAGAAAAACATGCTCTCAGCGTGGTGCTGGTGTTCAGCAGGGCAATAATACTGTTTTATTCTCTTATCTGTGTCTCTCACCAGGGCCGTTTGGATACAATGAGGTCACCCTGATCCCTGCCGGAGCCACTCACATCAGAGTGACCGATAACAGCAAAAACTATTTAGGTCTGAGCAAGGCTTGTTTTTCTGTTAGCTAGGAGACGCATGTGTGTTTTTCATTACAAAGTCAATACGTATTTGCATTGAACATATTTGATGCTATTTCATCTCTCTTTGCTGCTGTAAGGCGAGCCAATAGTTGTAGAACAGCTGGAGTCGCAAAATGTTTGTAATTTGTTTGTAAGTTAGTTTTTTTATCTGCTGTAAGGACAAACAGATCAGTTTCCCATACTGGGATTAAGTCTAGTCCTGGGCTACATTTTTCTTTTAATGAAGTTTCTCCATTCACAGTGATGTGTAGTCCAGGATTAGGCTTAATCCATGTTGTGAAACCAACCCTGTCTTTTCAACTATTTCTTATAATCTATAAAATCAACTGTTATTCAAAACAGTGCTGGCCACTACCCCAGTGTTTTTGTAAGGTCCAACAGTCTGAATGACAGCATGTCGTATTACTGTTAAAGAGCATTTTGGAGTGCTTTGGGAAGTTTGCTACCAAAAAAAAAACAGGGTTGGGTTACATAATCAAGGAAAAAAGATAACAGTACATATAATAATAATTAATAATAATAATTATATAGGCACATTCTGAAAATAGGGTGATTACCAGCATTGTTACTTTCAAACCGCATTTTTAAAGTTTTAAATTCTGGGAAGATGTGTCTGTGTTAGTGGGGGGAGGGGGTCCTGTTGCCATCAGAGAATTCTGAATGCCCCCCAGCCCCAGCAGCAGTTAGCAGTCTTTCATTCAGCCAGTCTATAAAAATGTTAGTATACATTTTATGCTTTTCCTAAAGATATATGAATCAGGTACTCATTTATTTTGGCTTTCCATATCGGCAGATTCTAAAGAACCAAATTGATCGGGAATTAAGATCTTTTATTCTTGTTTGTTGCTGCATAAAATTACTCAGTTTGACTAGCGATAAATATAACAGATCTCTGATGATCAGAGTTGATCTAACTGAAAAGTCTCTTTAGGAGTGGATATCACTTATCACATGTGATAAGCTTAGCATCATTGCTGTACTGGATTCTTGCTAGCGGGAATTGTGGGAGCAGCAGTGAACTGAAGCAGGCAATGAATTTCAGAGCTACATTCTGGTGATAAGTGAAACTTTCATGAAATATATAACAGAACAATTTCATAAAGAAATCTGCCAACCAGTAACAGCGAGGGACAGCAGAGATTTCCCCTACCAATATGTCAATACCAACATGTATTCTAAAAGTATTCTGAATATGTTACTTTTTATGTATTATAATGAAATACTGAACACATTTAGGACAGCATATTCAATATTCAGCCATCACTACTTTTTCAAATTATTTTGCCCACTTCCCGCTTTCCCTGTAGTTCTCAGTCACTCTTTATTTGAATACCTAATTTTTGAATGGTCATACACATAGCACACATAACACACAGACATTTAAGTTACCTGTCATCAGGTAACCTATCATTTTGTTGTATAAAATAGTAGTTTTCCGTTTGACCTTGTGTTATCAATGAATCAATGTTGCCAACTTTGTCAACTAATAATTGCATCCCCATATTTTAGATCAAAATAAATCAAATCTTTAGGAAAGTATAATAAATGTTTATTTGAGTCAAAAGTTGTATCTGAAATCATCTTTTTGTGTCATTTTTAATCCTCCAGCCCTTCAGAATGGACGCTCCCAGTTTGTGATCAATGGGAACTGGAAGATCAGTGTGCCGGGGGAGTATGATGTAGCTGGAACTAAACTGCTGTACCGCCGCTCTGCTGATACCTGGGAGAGCTTCGAGGTACCCGGGCCCACAAAGGAAGACCTTCACGTTATGGTGAGTGAACAGACATGCTCGAAAGAAAGAGGTTCGAGGGAATGAAAAAAATATATCACTGTCATAGGACATCATATCTCTGAAATGGTATCTTTAGACAATAAACCTCCTTAAAACCTAAAAGCATCTAAATGTGGACCTACAGGTCAGTTTCTCATGCTTGTGACTATGTAACTTATTTGCTTCATACTGGTTGCTGAATAATAAGAGTGTAACATCTGGGTTAACATCTGTAAACGTAAAAAGATTTGAAAGGTTTGCTTTTAAAAATTGTAATGCTCTGTTCATCATGAAATGTTACTTGTTTTGTGCTGAATGGTTTGCAGGTGCTGTCCACTGATAAAAATTCTGGGATAGAGTATGAGTATTGGCTGCCCCCTGACCGCTACGCCCTGTACCACGGGAGGAAAAGTCCACTTCGGCAGCCTCAACACGGATCAAACTTCTTACCCTGGGAACCACCAACCCCAACCACAACCATAATCACCACCACCCCCACTAGAGCTCCTGCCACCATTCGGCCTCACTGGGGTAAACGTCTCCTATCTGGTTACCTGAAATCTTATTGGTTCTATCAAAGCAGCAGATAGATAGCTGTAGTCTCACATATCCAGCTTTAAATGGCCAAATATTAGCCCTGTGTAAGCTTTGCCATGATTAAATAGTGTGACACATTGTTCTTAGGAAACTAGCAGCTTTTTCATGTGTATTAGTGTATTATAAGTTAGTGTGAGGACAACCTTTTTCCAAGGTGGTAGATCTGTGTACACAATGATTATGATTCATAAAAGGTTAATTCCTTTTGAAGGGACTCTGACACGGAAATGGTTTTACAGATGTGTTCCTAATGTGCTTATATCTGTGCATACATGCCTGATGGTACAGTGGAATGCATGCTAACCACTCCCTGTGTTCCCGAACGCATTGAGTGATGTAATGTTTTGCTGGTGCTGAAAGTTTCATCTTTTAGGGTGTTTCGATGAGCATTAGTGAATGTAAGCGGGGAAATAAATCAGCCTGTATGCCAGTATCTAATATATATTTTGACTTTTTTTTTCCAAAAAAAGAAAATGGAAATTGAGTTTTGTTTTGTTTTTATTTACGGCTGTATTGCTTGAAAGGAAGGAAGTCAGAATATTGTCTTCTAGTTCTGTAAGACGCTGATTTAAAGCGATTTGTTTTTCTTACCCCGAATGTGGTCAATCAGCCATGACAAGTAACTTTAAGCAAACTTTCTTATGTGGTTTCTGACGATGTGTCACTTACTATTTGACAAAAGTACAGTCAAAATTGAAGCTTCAAGATGGCTGTATGTCAAACAGTGTCAGAAACTACAAAAGCAAGTAAGTAAAATATATAAAGGGGAGATCCTCCATTTTTTTTTTAATTTCTGCATAATTCAATCCTTGTGATGTGAACAAAGTCATTCAGATTGGTTTGATGTGAAATGGTAAAACATATATAGACATTTTATTACAAGCCAAAAAGGACCAGTAACAATACACATCTTCTGAGTTTTATATGTGTTGTTGATAAAGGTAAAATAGTGGGAAATCTGAAAAAATGCTTTCTTTGGGGGCTATTTTGCCTTATAATGCCCTGCATGTATGTCACTGCTTTGACTGAATTAAGAAAAATATGTTTTAGGCCAAAATCTTATCTCAAAACTATCAGAAAACAGTGTCTCAGGCATCAGGCAGCACTTTGGTAACCCTGTAATGTAATAGCTTTCTGATGTAGCTTTGAAAGACATTAAATGCTTTGGATGTCTGGTTGCTATCACTATTCCATGCACTTCCATGAAACCACTCTGAATGATTTTGTTTATATTGCATTATGCAGCAATTTTGAAATATTGGTGGAATTCCCCTTTAATTTAATTTGACAAAATTTAAGGCAAGTGATACAAGCTTTGATCATTTGTTGGCTACACCAACCTTGTAGCTGTCTTGGCTGATCAGTTACCTTTGGACTAAGGGAGTTCTTGCTGAAGTGAACTGAAGCGTCCAGTATGTCTCATGTCCTGTAGGTGGCAGGCCTGTTAGACGTCCCTCTCAGAGGCACCCAGGGCCTCGTCTGGAACGAGATGAGAACCGAAGCAACTACCTGCCCGAGACTCGTGGTACAGGTCAGCACAAGTTACAGCATCAGCACTTTTGGCTTCAGCTTAATCTCTCTCATCACTTCCACCAGCCTGTGAGGAAAGAGTGTTTTTCAGTTTCAGGTTGAATCCTTTACCGTAATGTCTCATGTGTGACCGATTTCTTTGCAGGTCACTGTGGCAAATGCAGGAAGGTAAAGGGTCGTGGAGAGCGGCAGAGACAGTATTGCCAGAAGGATTTTGGTGAGATTAATTGTTACTGTTTAGCCCAGGGGTTCTCAACTCCAGTCCAGTCCTGGACAGATTATTATATTATAGTGCTACATTTTGCGATTGGAGTAAGCCTTACAATATACAAAAGACACAACTGTGAACCATTGAAGTGACTAGATTGGCCTGCATATATATATATATAAAGTATGTGGGGCAGTGAACATTTTAACAGCGCAGGGCAGTAGGTCCCAGGATCAGAGTTGAGAACACCTAAGGTAGCCAAATGTGAGTTTGGATTTTCTACTCATTTTCATTATTCATCCAACAAGCAGAATTTGCCTGTTGGTTAAAGGGAAATTCAACCAATTTTGAAGAAATATTCTGCATAATTTAATCATTGATATGTAAACAAAGTCATTCAGAGTGGTTTGAACTGAGATGGTGCATTGTAGAGAAATGTATGGATTTCTTTACAGTGGTGGTGATAGGAACCAGGGGTCACAATGTCTACAATGCAAATATAGCAATTTTACTTACTATCCAAAACCACCAATGACCCTACACAGGTCTTCTAAGTTTTAATTTGTCAAGTTAATTATTGTAAAATAACAGTAAATGTGAAAAAATATGTTTCCTTTCAGTACCTTTTAACCTTTGAATGCCTTGTATGTATCTCTAAGCCATGAATGTATGAAAAAAAATACATGGTAATCGAAAGCCAATACTGTCGTAAAACAGTGTCTCAGGCATCAGGCGTGTATTCGTAACCCTTTCATTTAAAAGGCCCAAATAATGGAAAACCGGAAGTCCCTTGCTTTGTTTGAAGTAATATGTAAACATGTGTCATTCACTACCCAGTCCATACGGTCCTTATATGGAAACTAAGCTGCGAAAAACAGCCCATTTTGATTTGTTTCTGTGATGTCACAAGAACCAACACACTTACATATATCAAACTGTGCAAACAGAGTTCATTTACATTATATCAGTTAAAAATGCAGTAACAAAAACAGACTGTTTCATTTCAAAGGATAACGTGAGGTTGGAAAATGGTCATGTAAAATGAATTATGTCTATTTTTGGCTACATGAAACCACACAAAGGATATAAGAGAATGAAAAATGCAAGAAAATGTAGGTTGTGGGCTCTTTAATAGTTTCCTATGAGATAGATTTTACAAGCATTAACTGCTTTTGACATCTGGTTCCTGTCACCACTGTTGTAAGCTATTTTGGGCAAATCTCTGTAGAATGGCTCGTTCCACATCAAATGACCCTGAATAACTTTGTTTACATCTTGATGATCACATTATGGGGAAATTTTAAAAAATTAGTTGAATTCACGTTAAAGTACACCTAGCTTAAACCTACACTTAGTGGCCATTTTATCAGAAACACAGTCCATATAGGTACACTTTGTAGTCTTATAGTTATTAACCATAGGACCACCATAGGACCACCGCTGACCAGATGTTATCTAGATGGTGGACCATAAAGTGATAAAATGGTCAGTGCATGTAGGTATAAAGTAGGTGAACTTTACAAACTTGGTGTTTATCTCTAATGTCAAATTTTGCTGATTCAGTCTTCAGAGCCAAGATCTTAGAGAAGACATATATTGGTGTGGAGACTCGCTATGACGTGCAGATCATCCACACGTACCGCAACCGCTTCCGTCTAGAACACCGGGAATACCTCTGGGCACCCAACAAGTGTGACTGCCCCGCATTGGAGGAGGGCCATCAGTATGTGCTCATGGTGAGGCGTCATATCAACTATGAACAGACACTCAATCGCATTCTGCTGGAGGAGGACAGCTATGCTCAGCTTTACCGCCCACGCGAGGACAGCCTCCTGCGGCCCCTAGAGGAGCTTTGCAGTAACAGAGGACCTAGAACTCAGCCCAGAGGGTAAAACCTGGACTCAGCTCTCCCATCACTGTGCACTTACTATATTTAATCCTCATTCCAAAGAAACATGGACAACAACTGCCCATCACTGGCTTTGAAAAATAAACCAGAGAAGTGGACTGTGGGCTGTGGAAATTACATTGACCTTGGGATTTAAAAGCAACTGAAGCCTACCAAAGTTAAACCTATTCACTAAATGAAGCACTTTAGGTAGATGTTATGACCTACCTTTAAAATTCACATACCAAAGAGAAGAATATATTATTTTTATTGTTATTTTTATTATTATTGTTATTATTACTAGACTTACTGTTGCCTTTCTGTCACCAGAATATAGTTACCTGAAATCATGGGGGTCTGTATCTTTGCCCTCATTTGGCATTCATGCAATACTCAGTTATTGTTGGTTTTATTTGTATTTATGGTGATATTAGTACACTTATTATTAGTATTATGTGTTGCGCTTTTGATATATATATTTTTTTACTATCAATACATTTACTGTCTGCGATGCAAGTTTATTAGCAACAGTTATTTTGAATATTTCAAGCAGACGACAGTGTTTCTTATGAAGTGCCTGACTGAAATGATCAGTAGAGGAGAGCTAGGCGTCTTAGAAGGATTTACATCTTGCATGCTAAGAGGATAATGAGCAGCAGACATAGTGCTCTCCTGGTAAATCTATATCTGTTTACCTGCTCTGTATAATCTGACACACATGTATTTGCATCTCCAAAAGCTTTTACCTTAACCACCATATTTGCTAATATACATTAATTAAATGTTCAGCTTACTGTACATTATTTGGAGGGGGGCATTGATATTTCAACAGCATATTAAAGGGGAATTCCATAAGTTTTCAAAATGGTAGAGATGTAAAGTCATTCAGAGTGGTTTGATGTGAAATGCTCTGGTCCAGAGAAACTTGGCCAGAATTTTCTACAGTGCTGGTGATAGAACCCAGATATCTGAAGTGTTAAATGCTTTTAAAAGCTACATCAGAGTAAGTTATTTCATGAAATGATTACAAATATACTAACTGATGACATTGTTTTATGATAGTTTTAATAAGATATCAGCCTAAAACATATTTTTAAATACACCGATCAGGCATAACATTATGACCACCTCCTTGTTTCTATGCTCTTTGTCCATTTTATCAGCTCCACTTACTATATAGGTGCACTTTGTAGTTCTACAGTTACAGACTGTAGTCCATCTGTTTCTGTGTTAATGTGTGTTGCACTGGTCTGAGTGGATCAGACACAGCAGTGCTGGTGGAGTTTTTAAATACCTCAGTGTTACTGCTGGACTGAGAATAGTCCACCAACCAAAAATATCCAGCCAACAGTGTCCTGTGGGCAGCGTCCTGTAACCTCTGATGAAGGACTAGAGAATGACCAACACAATAGAGTGGACAGTGAGTGGACACATTGTTTAAATACTCCAGCAGCACTGATGTGTCTGATCCACTCGTACCAGCACAACACACACTAACACACCACCACCACGTCAGTGTTACTGCAGTGCTGAGAATGATCCACCACCCAAATAGTACCTGCTCTGTGAGGGTCCATGGGGGTTCTGACCACTGAAGAACAGGGTAAAAGGGGGCTAACAAAGTATGCAGAGAAACAGATGGACTACAGTCTGTAATTGTAGAACTACAAACTACTGCACCTATATAGTAAGTGGAGCTGATAAAATGGACAATGAGTGTAGAAACAAGGAGGTGGTCATAATGTTATGCCCGATCGGTGTACATTCATGGTGGAGAAGTACACCAGTTTTAAAATGGTCCCTAAAGATACATTTTTTAGATGTATCACTATTTTACCATTAACAGTGTTACATATAAAGGCTCAGAAGACACATATAGGTTCACTGGTCATTTTGGATACTAAATTAAATTTCTATATTTGTGCTACAGACATTGTGATGACCCCTGGTTCCTATTACCACCACCGTAAAGAACATCAGTCGACAACTGAATTATGCAGAAATAAAAAAAAGCGGTGAAATTCCCCTTTAAGTGTATCATTTCTTCCCACAGAGGCATAATATTTTCTCCCAGAGAAAAACACAAGAAAGGAGATCTTTAATGAGGTTGTTTTTTTCCCTCTGAAGACACCTCCCCTTTCCTCTTTCTTCAAATAATTGCACACAAACAGCAAATTATATGTGTTTTGTTAAAAATATATTTACAAAAATAGCTTGATCTTTCAAGACCATGACATAAAATGTGCTAAACCTGTAATTAGAGATAAAAGAGTTGCTCAGTTTCTGGTCTAGTAAAATCATTACAGTTTACAGCTTTCTCTCTCCCTGCAGCTGACTGGTTGGTTTGAGGGGCAGAGGAATGTGAGGGACCCTCCCCTGGAGCATATGGCTGCTTTATACATTAGCCACAGATCACAGAGTGACAGCAAGTACATGTAATAGGACATTATTTACATAAAGAGCATAAATAGCTAATTACATTTTTAAATAAAGTTAAAGATTAAGTATTTTTTGTTTTGTTTTTTTGTTTTTTTAAACAGATCTAATCCTGGTATAGTTTAAACTAATCTCTAGGGGTCTAAACAGTAATCCAGTGGATGGAAATGTGTTTTCTAAAGCTGACATTAGTCCCGTGTGAGTCATTTTGTTCACCTTTGTGATCCTTTTGGCAATAATAGCGCACTCCTGATGGTAGGCCATCATAGTCGTAAACATAGCATACATTGTTCCAGTGTCCCCTTTAGGTTTTTTCCTTTTTTGCTGGTATTTGTCCAGCCTTGGTTATGTGGTTATGATGGAGGAGCATCAGAGTGCTTGTCGTAGAGTCCCTCTCAGGCTCTGTTTATTTTTTGATGAGATAAAAGTCCTTCCCTTTTGGCTTCAGCTCTCATCATAGCTTCTGCTGCAGTCCCTGCATCCTGAGACACGGTCACACACTGACGCTGACATGACGCTGGGAGGCCATCCTCCGCTTGATCCGAGAGCGCCGCGGCCGTTTAGAATTGGAACGGCAGTGACATAAAGGACCCAGCAGGAGCCACAGGTAGAGCACCACGCAGGCCCAGCAAGATGACAGCTTCACATAAAAGGTGGAGTAGCTGCCGTGGGTGAAAGTGGTCTCCAGCACGGCTGTCTCATAGCTGCAGGAAAAGGGACAGTAAGGTAAAGTGCACTTGATTAGGGCTGAACGATACTGGGAAGAGGTCACATTGTAATATTCTATATGAACAATATTGCAATACTTGAAAAACTAGAAAGAAGTCAAATGTTTTCCTAGACAAGTTACTCCCAAGTGGAGCAAATGATCATTTCAGTTATCAGCAGTGGAAATACTTCAGCATCTGCCTGGAGAAACCCATCAAAATTATTATGCTAATCAATTGTAGGGGCTGCATAGACTTGTCAACCAGTACATCCACTAGTCGACACTGTTGGCAATAGCCCTCTAGTCGAGGACAGTGCCTGAAATAAAACTGTAGTGAACAGGCATGAGGAGAGGATAGATCAGTTTTTCTGCAAACACAAAGCCCAAAGTGGCTTATTTGTGTGGAAGTACTACGCAAATTTTTACATTTTTATGGTATTTAGCAGACACTCTTATCCAGAGCAACTTGCAATTGGATCATTTTTACACAGGTGGGCAAAGGTAGTGTTAGGAGTCTTGCCCAAGGACTCTTGTTGGTATAGTACAGGGTGCTTGCCCAGGCAGGGGATTGAACCCCAGTCTGCAGCGCAGAAGGCAGAGGTGTTGCCAACTACATTATACCAACTACCAAACTGAATCCAGTCCCTCTACATGCTGTGTAAAATACAGCTTGTAAGTCAGACAGGGTAGGTTTCCAGAATTGCAGTCTCTGATAAGAAAAAGCAGTTTGACTGACATGCAAATTGACCAATCACAGACCATTTAGCTTGAAGTATGCACAGCAAAACAAACACACATTAAATAAAGTGTAGTACCAGTTGACGAACCCAAAAGGATATCTTGCTACCTACATTTAAAAACAAAACAAAAAAAAATCAGCAATAACTTTTTAACAGCATGAATGTTTCCTGGTTCACCAACAGGGCCTTTATCTCACTCCGGATGGCTTAATAGAGTGTAGATGTTTGCTAATAGCATTAAGCTCGATAAACTAAGACATTCTCGTTTCCTGTGTTTTATATATATCCAGTGGGAAAGGGGTCCTGCTGGGTGTTATAAAACAATTGTTTGTTTCCCAACGGACTGATAAAACCAGTGCGTGGAAGAGCTGTGAGGATTTTAGCGTGCAGTTTACAGCAGACACTGTACTTTCATGGGAAGAGCACTTATTGAAATACAACAAAAATGCATATTTGAAAATACACATTTTATACCTCAAACCACAGCATCTGCCTGCATATCCAATCCACCAATTATACAATACCACTAGGGCTAGGAGGGCGAATGCAAACACAAGCTTCGTCCGAGTCATGTTAAGTCAGCCACCGCATCTATTAACATCACACTTGGAGAAGAGCACTAACTGCCAGTTCTGTTTCATCAACTAACAGATGTATGCGCTAGCTAGCATCGCAATGAATCAGTCGACTGTGTTTTTGAATGACTAGCCTACTAGTAAAAATTAATAACCATGCAACCCCCAATTGGCTGTATTCTGGCTAAGGTTGCATGATATATAATCCAATATATTGAAAACACATTGCTGAAGCCTTAATGTTAAATATATTTTGTCCAATTTAGTTAAATACAACCTTAATTTAAACTCAAACCTCAATGTGTTTCCGAGTCTAACTGTTTCCAGTATAGTAGAGTAAAAGAAATCTAAGGCATTAGTGATGCAGATAAGAAAATAAATTAAAGTTAATTATAGCAAAAGACAAACGTAATAACAAACGTGTAGCTAGCAAAAGATACTATAACAACAAAATATTAACTTAAAGTATTATTTTTTTTGTTGGATCATGTGATCTTGATTCATTCCAACATCCAATAAACATGTGATTGGCCAGGATGCACGCAATAAAATATTCAGTGGTTGTTTAGAGATGCATTTGCATATTGCACCCTTCTTCAGTATACAGTCGTATGCAAAAGTTTGGGTGACATTTTATTAATTTTCTAAGTATAAATAAGGTAACACATCCTTTATAAAAACACACTTCTGCACACTTTAATGCACAACTACTGTCTATTTGCTGAATTTAAGATATTGGAAAAGATAGAAATTGTGCACTTGTAATCACACTGTTTTGTTCCACATATATATTAAAGTGTAAACATTAACTAGATGCCGTGTATGTGCTTTCAGGGAAGGGTCTAGCTAGGGGTCTAGGGTACTATGTCACGGTGATAATCAGGCTCAAGAGTGAGTCAGTGTTCACTACTCTTCCCTTAATCCAGATCAGCACTGTCGAGCTCTTTAACAACTGACCTGAACCAATTTGTGAGGGTCATCATGACGTAGAGGGAGGCCAGGAAGAAGACGAAATGGAAGAAGAAGTAGCTGTAGGCCACTCGATGACTCTCGTTGTGAATCACCTTCTGGCAGCCCTTACTCTCATCGTCAATCACAAACTCTTCCTCCACTGTAAATAAGAGAAAAGTCCATCGTTTCACAAAAATGTTTGCTACTTTATTATCAATTATAAATTCCGATCTGCAGTGTTTTACTTACCTTCTTCTTCCTCAGGACAGCAGAAACAACACGTGGCTTTCTGTGAATTCAGACAGGCGAAGATTAACATGAGCCATAAAAGATTATCATAAATTTACAACAGCTGTCTAAAATAAGCTTTTGGGGATCAGAATTTAATTTTCATTGTAAGAAACATTCATTGTAAGACAACAACTCACTGTCTGTTGCTTTACAAAGAGACAGAAGAGTTTATATAAGTGTAATGCCATAAATCATTAAGAGCTACTGAAGAGAAGACAGTAAATCAGACCCAACCCACCTGGAACTCGTAACGATAAACTTTGATCATCCAGAATGGACCAAATACCTCAGCCAGGTAAGAAGCCTCGTTACTGAAAAACAAAGTTAGTTGTTAATGAGATGTGTATGTATTAAAGGAACACCAAAAATCATAAAATATTCCAACACAATGGTGATACTGTTTAGGTTGTAAAGCTGCAAAAATTAAGACAATTTTGATGATGAACAGAGCTGTAGACGATAATAAATGTGATAACACTGAGAATGAACTTACACTGAAATAATACAGAATGCCTCATATTTAATAAGTGGTGACTGAAACTTTGACCAAAAAGCCATCAAATAGCTAAAAGCACAGTGATTTCATGACAAGAATTTACAATAAAAAGATAATTACGGTTTATTAATTAATAACAATAACAGCTGTTTACCATGATAGAACTTCGTGTTATCCCCAAAACTGCTCCAAAAATACTTTTGAATCGTGAAAAAACTACCAGTTTGTCTTTTGGTGGTACCTGTTTACAATATTTCAGTCTACTTGCTGTCCAGTTTAACATTTCAGTCTATACTGTACAAGTTATTGCTCAATAATGATTATTAATGTGAGACTTTTGAACCGTAGTGTATATAATCTTATACCTCTCCTGGGATTCTTTACTGCTCTCCACTTTTCTGGTAGTGATGTGTTTTCATATGTCATTGCTTTCCATTGTCTCTCAGACAGAGGAGCACGACACTGAAGCTAGTACCGCCGCAATACTAGCTATCAAGCTAAAGGGGCTATAATTATATGCCGAAAAAAAGTTTGGGCACAAAATTAAATACAGTGAAAGTCTATGGAAGTCTTAAATCATTTTAAAATGCTTTTTTTAAGAAATAGTTGCACTTAAAACAATAAAACAGTCTGAAAATAACTGATCTACAAATTGTTTAACATGTTTGGAAAAAAAAGCTCTCACCATGCAAACAGCACACAGCAGTACATAATAGCAGCGCCGATGATGGCTACAGCATTTCCTTCGTTCTGGATCTCGTCTCTGCCCACATTAGGGTAGCACACAGTCATGTTGACCCCCTGGTACTCCACTGAAAGAAATGCACACAAAAAAGACGGATTATATCAGGGATGTGACAATACATGTCACAGTGGCTTAGCCAGAATTTTATTTTGGTGGGGGGCTGGTTACAGGCTGGGGGGGGGTGATAGCTCATCATCATTATAGTGTCCTGATATAGTAGCCTCCAAGTGAGAGTGCCTGGACCCCCAAGGTCCCATTGTGGCTACGCTCTTGACGTGTCGTACTGTATCAAATTGTATCACAGCCTGTTGCATATTAATGCTGCATATTAATGTTAAAGTAAATACACACTTTCAGCCACTCTTTAATTTGCTTTGGAAAACGTATCGAATGGAGACACCACTTTGATTGAGCTTTGTGTATTGTTACACCCCTAGATTGTATGGGTATGCTAATTATCAGTTTTGTCAGTTTTTATAAAAAAAAGTAGTTGGCTTCAAACTGTACTTCAGTTACTTCAAACTGTAATGGGATTACTTTACTTTTTCTAGGAAGTAATCAGTTATCTTGTTACTCATAACTTCTGTATTACTCCCTAAAAACCCAAACACAACTGAAAAGTACAAAGGTTAATTAATTTCTGTATGTTATTTACAAAGAAATAGCCAGTGACTGTATGATTTCAAAGACATTATGAATGGCTCATGCTATTTAAAACCCTAGAAACTGGCCGGAAGAACCTGTTCAGAAACAGAAATAAACCTTTATGGAATGTTTCTAAGCTGTTAAGTGAGGTTGGAGCTCTCTCTTCAAAATATTTTAAATGGATCACACATATTTTTAACCTTTTCAACTCCTTGAGACCACCGGTGGTTCCAAAACGCACTTCGTCATATTCTTCATAACTTGCATATTTCATAAGCTACATTCATAAGGTGGGTGTGATATGACAGTAACTGTCTTCTTTCCAGTCAAATAGATGGGTGATGTAATTTTAAACCCTTATAATAAAAGAAGCTGAGACAAATTTTTTTCTACTGAAAGTCGACCCATTTTTCCACAAATCTGGGCTGTAAACTATAAACAGATGACGTCTCTTCAGTGATCCGCTCTGTAAAAATTATTTTTATAAAATAATACATAGAGCGTGCTGCGAATGATCCACCACCCAAAAAGTACCTGCTCTGTGAGGGTCCATGGGGGTCCTAACTACTGAAGAACAGGTTAAAAGGGGGCTAAAAAAGTATGCAGAGAAACAGATGGACTACAGTCTGTAATTATAGAACTACAAAGTGCTCCTATATAGTAAGTGGAGCTGATAAAATGGACAATGAGCGTAGAAACAAGGAGGTGGTCATAATGTTGTGCCTGGTCAGTGTATATTAGACACTGTTTTCCGATTTTCTCCTCTTTTAGGCTTTGATGCTGAAGTCAAAGTGTTTTTTATGGTTTTATTTTTCTGAAATACAGCCTGTAGGTAGAAATGGCAGGTAGAGGAGACACACACACACACTCACCCTCTTCATCCTCCAGGGCTTGCGAATCAATCTAGGGCAAATTCCTCCAGTGTTGCATTAAAAGCCGACCCAGGCTTGTATGAAAACACTGGCTAATTACAGGGGCTTTGAGCGTGGCATTTACACACGCGAGACAGGAATTCTAATTGAGCTGCAGTCAGTGGCATACTGTGTTCCCGTTTAAGGATAAGGGACCCTCTCCTGGTGTTCTGTGCTTTCAGATTTAGAGAGTTCCTCTGAGATGGGATTAAAGTGCCAGAGTGTCATGGGTGCGACTTCATAACAGTCCACTCAGATGAAGTCACACAGCAGGCAGAGCCTCGCATCCCTGGAATGTGTTGTCAATATGTTACAACATAGTAAAGCCAGGGATACACAGTGATATCAGAATCATATCGGTATTAGCTGATAATTTCTTAAAAAAAAGATCAGCACCCAACAGATGAATGTATTTCAAACTAATTTTTGATGATATATTTATTGCACTAGGGAAGAGCAGAATGTTTATGCAATGCTGGGCTACTGAGCTACAACATCTGCATGTTTTTACTTTTTCTCATTTGTAATCCTATGAAAATATCTGTTCTACTTATTTGTTATGCAAATCAAGGTGGATTTAGTCATCATTTCTACATTTTATAAATATTTATGTGATGGCATCAGCCATGTACATTAAAAATATTGAATACTGGCATCGAGCCACAATTCCCATAGAAGTAGGAGTTACGTACTGTGGGAAAATCACTGTAATGCATGGCCTAGAGTGCATTGCTTTTATAAAACAGTGATTAAATACAATATGACAAAGTCATCAATGTTCAAGAAATATTTTAACCTAGTAATAATATTTACTACAAACAATTCAAACAATTCTTCCACCAAGCAAGTTTGTTAATAGTGGGCTATGGCTGCCGAGCAATACTGTGGTCAAACATTATTCAACATTATTTTAATAACTTGCTGCATTCCAGCAGAATTCAGTTGATGTGTGATGGTAAATCTTGAGAAATATCTATCCAGTTGCTGTCAAAATTCACAAATGCTATAGGAATATGAAATGATGATTAAAAGAGTGCCCTACTTGAGCCTGTTTGGCTACATAAAGTATCCATTACAATTTACCCTGCATTCGTTTGTAGCCCACTCTTCCCCCTTTTCAATATATCGCTGTTGTTGGAAGAAAACCTCATATCTCCAGAATGGTAACTTTACAAGAGAAGGAAAAACCCTACTTTACCTTCAATGTAAGTCAATGGAACCAGACTTTTTTTAAAGTCATTTTTGGGTCATTTCTTTTAGACCAGTCATCATGAAATTTCCACACAATGTAAAGGGCAACAGGTTTTTTCAAATTATGTCAAAAACTGAAAAACATCAAAAATGGAGATACAAGATTTTCTTCCGACAGCAGCGATATTCTGTTTTTATGTATGCTGACGGAGAAAATCAAGGGGCAGAAGGCCAGGACTCTTACAGTATCATGTACAACAAATGGGACTCCATTCTGAGGCTCTGAATGGCATGGAGGGTGTGTGCGCTGGAAAGTTGTTTTTATAGCAGTCTGACTCTGCATATTTCTGAAGCATGTCGAAGCATTACCCCATATTGCCTGAAGACAACTTGCCCCTATTCTACACAGCTCTATAGTAATGCCATAATTTGATGCTACATGACCTCCAGACTGCTGGAAGTAATCCAGTAATCTCTGTTCTCAAAGCTGGCAGTATCAACTTGACCTTTTCCAGGGTTTTATGTTTCCCCCATAACCTAAATCTCAAGCTTTAATTTCATTTCCCTTAGCAGGTTTACAACATCTGTCTTTTTTAATATGGCATATAAAACATCACCCTCCACCACATAACCACAACTGATCTACATGCTTCGGTGGTCTCTCCCTCCCCCTGTTCAGTGCCTCATGCTCTAATCATCAGAGCTTTTCTTTCTGGAACGTTCCACCATTCGTCTCTGTCACAGACTGATCACGCTCCATTACTCACCTTTACTAGATACCACATATAGTCATAAATTGCAGATGACTTTCTGCCCAAAGCAGCCTTTAGATGTGAGGCTATGACGATGCACTGAATGGATGAGCTTTATGGGCTCCAACAAGTCCTTATTTTTTCTTTAACTTAAAAACTACTCTGCATCAAATATATATCTCATACAAGCTGTCCAATGTTTTTAGGGTGTCTCTTCTATGCTTTGTTTTGTGTGGTTTTCATGCACCGCAGTTTTCAAGCTGGAACCAAGAAACTCAGGATTTTAGGGCCTATATGAGAATAGAGCACTTGTGCTTTTGGGACTTACCGCATGTACATTTTTACGTACAATTTTGAGTTGCAGAATTTTGGAAAAATTCTGATCTAACTGCCACAAATGATCTCTCACACGGCTTGAGACATTACATTAAGACTCATACAAATACTAGCACATATATAAATACACACAAATTAGCAACCATGTGGGATAGCAAAACAGCATCCTAGCAACACCCTGGGATAACAGTAATGTCCTAGTAACACCTTAGCAGCCACCTGGGATACCATAGCAAGGCTTAGCAACACCTTAGCAACCGTCTGGGATACCATTGCAATACCCTAGCAACACCTTAGCAGCCACCTGGGATACCACAGCAAGGCCTAGCAATACCTCAAAAACCACCTGGAATACCATTGCAATGCCCTAGCAACAGCTTAGCAACCACCTGGGACTCCACAGCGTGGCCTAGCAACACCTAAGCAACCACCTGGAGTAACAAAGCAACAGCCTAGTAACACCTTAGCAACCACCTGGAGTAATAAAGCAACAGCCTAGCAATGTCTTAGCAACCACCTGAGATAACAAAGCAACAGCCGAGCAACACCTTAGCAACTGACTGGGTTAACATAGCAACAGCCTCACAACACCTTAGCAACCACATGGTATAACAAAGCAACAGCCTAGCAACACCTTAGCAGCCGACTGGTTTAACATAGCAACAGCCTCGCCACACCCTTAACCACCACATGGGATATCATAACAGTGTCCTAGTAACATCTTCAACCCTCTGGATGTCATTTTTTTTATACAAAATATTCTGTTTGGGTTTTGAAATAAATATCATTTTCATACGCACACGTGTAGAGGGGACAAAGTAAAAAGTCTATTCGGACTCAGAGATCAGTTCACACGAAAAAGACAGCTCAGCTCAGGGACACTGAGTAAAAGCTCAGGTCAGCATGTTCATTCATGGTTGGACTGCTACACAGCGAGACCTCAGCTAAAGACCACAAGGTTACCCTACAACACCCTGAAGAGGTTCACTACACTTATGAGCTGACAGATAGCTTATCCCTTTCTCCTTACAGTCACTGTCAACAAGCCCCCATTTTACCTGTGACAGACAGCTCAGCAACACTCAGGTGGGTAAAGCCAGGCTCGTACATGCTGGAAGGATAAGGCTTGTGACACGCTGCCTAATAGCGTGTAACCGTACCACCAGCATGCATTACTGTGCTGTTGGAGTGTCATTCGATGCAATAGGAATGTGATGTATCCTCCCATATGCCCTGCAAGACTGACAGTATGGGAAGCATCAGCCAGTGTTTCAGCCTGAATTTGAGGTTATTAAAGGAACACTCCAGCATCTTTAACCTAACGTCTATCTGCTGCATCTGTGGTGTGCGGCCAAATTACTGTGAACAATATAAAATACTTCAGATACAGGTAATAGAATTTATTGGGCAGGTGAATTCAGTAAAGTATTATTTTTTACAGAACATGTTCATTAATTCAGTCAATGATAAAAAGAAAAGTCTTTAGTAGAGAATTTTAATTAAGTCTGGTTATTGGATGCAGGCCACAACTAAAAACCACAACAACTAAAAACCTGTCAGGTTTGACACGGCTTAATAACAAGCCTTTTATTACATAAAAAAACCTTCCGTCTTTAGTCAGTAGGCAGAACTAACGTGCTACATTCAGTAAAAGCAGTGTTTGAAGGAACAAATTAAAACAACTTGAATGGGTTGGTTAGACTGTAGTTTCAATAGCAAGTGTGCTAGCTAATTAGCTAGGGTAATAACTGATCAACTTTAGCTAGATTATCTGACAACTTCAGCTACTGTGCTATCTAGCATACTTGCTACCCAAATTACATGCAGGTGAACCGTTTCACCTTTTTGCCTCTTTTCTTTAAAGCTACACTGTGTAAGTTTTGGTATTTGGAGACCTCTCTGGTGGTAATGTGTAATTGCATGCAGCGTTTGCAAAGAACATTCAGTTGTGCTTTGGGCTCCTTCCCTGAGCAGATGAATCTGATGACTGCGAGCATGTGAAAGAGTATTCAAAGAGAACTCAGCCAAAACTTGGTGAAGGACGTGTCTTCTGAGGATGTGAGGGAGTTACCTACTATAGTTATCATGTCTTCCTCAGTTTAACGTTGATTTGCATTTGAGGTGTTAAATTTGAGCCAGACCTTTTTAATGATCAAATTTTCTTGTCTTAACATTTCTTCCAATCTTTTTCACAACATCAAAACAAATCTGTCTACGTGTCTTAAGAGTAGATGTTTTAACTTTGTTCATTCTAGCTGTGGCCAATTCTAACAAACCTATGTCATGTAGTTGAAATGGCCAAAATGTCGTACACTTAGATTATGTAGGGGGGAAGCCACAGAGCCGGACATTCTTTCTGAGCCTGTGCTTATGACCACAATACGTATAGATGAAAAAAAGCACCTTCGAATGACTTTTTCAGGCTTGAAAGGGCCAACGTACAGCATTGCACGAACGCCATAATTCAGCATGTTTTTTTTCGTCTCCTTTCTTCCTTCAGTTTTAACTACAAATCTTATACAATGCAGCTTTATACACTGCATTTACTGCATGTAGCACTTCATCCTGTCCATTTGCCTGAAGGCTCTTCTGCAATAAAGTGCTTGTTTGAAACCATATTGAACGTGATATTCTTGCGAGCTGCAGGAGGACAGTACTGCAATAATGACTGCACATGAACATAGCAAAACTGACAGGTTTGGAAATGAAACGTGTTACTGATTTAGCATTTAGCATTAAGGGTGGCAGGCCTAATGTGATCGGTTTCACTTGTGTTTTTCTCAGGCTGAAATTTCACAAGTCTTAGGTCTTGAGTCTGAATTGAGTTGCGAGTCGGTCAATGTGCAACGAATCAGAGTTGCTGACTCAATTCCCCATCACTGACTTGCATAATTGGATCTTTCAGTAAAGAACTAGTTCTCCAGAATTTGTGGTAGTTCATTACCAGCATGGTAGCTCCGCCTGATCGCTATGGATATCTTAGGTAGTAAACTAGTACTGCTTATTTACTGTTTCTTCAGTTTTCCAAAGATGAATAAAACATCATAAGAACAGCTCTAATGAGACTTTCTCTCATGTATTGTTAGTGAAACAAATGATGTTAATCAAACATGTACTTCAAACATTTATTCAGAAAATGAATCTTCTATTGTAAGTGAGTTTCGAGTCAACAGGATTTCTGTTCTTTTCTGTACAGGAATCCACATTGAAATTACTCTTCATGGTGATCAGGGGTATGATACGGTTGGGGCTGAGAGAGACTAGGTTAAATAATCTTTGTCTATCTGCCCATACCACACAAGGGTCACCACACAGGGTCACTCTAGAGGTGTGGTATGGTTTCGTTTTGGTTTTACACTGTGCTCAGTGTGTGGAGGTGCTGTACCTTTCTCAGGTGGACGGCTGGAAAGTGCAGAGAAGGTCAGGTACATGACGTAGCAGCTGATGATAGAAGCCTGCAGCAGTCCTGAGCGAGGCTGCTCTGAAAACACCAAAGCAAGAGTTACATTCCAGAAAACAGTCATCGAGCACGAATGCATGCATTTTGTCCATTCTCACTCTCTTCATTCATTTGTGCAAGTTTCAGCAGCGTGCATAAATTGTAATCAGAGCATGTTGATAAACACACTTCAGTGTTCTTTTTCTTTCAGCTTCATATACACTGCCAGCCAAAATCTTGAAGCAACACTAACATTGTCAAAAATAAATGTTATTTTTTTCAAGTATGAAGGGACAGTAGAAGAAAGGTGTTTGACAACATTTTTGCTGCTATATTGAACTAATTCTTAAAGGGGATTCTGCAAAATGTGAAAAATATGTGTAAACAAATTTACCATATAAAATAACCAGTGAACCTATAAGTGCCTTCTGAGTTTTTATATGTAATGTTGAATGAGTAAAACAGTGGTCAATCTCAAGTAAGTTTTCTTTGGGTACTATTTTTTACCTTACAACACCCTACATGTACCTCTCCACTATAAATGTATTCAAAAATGTATCTTAAAACAATCAGAAAACAATGTCTTAGGCATCACGCAGCGCATTCAAAACTTGAATTTGGAGGCATTAAATGCTTCAGATGTCTGGTTCCTATCACTGACTTACTACATTTTTCTATAATGTAATCTAAAATCGATGGAATCCCCCTTTATTTAGTTTAGCTCTTGGTGATTCCTGCAGTTTTACTGCAGCCCTAATCTTCTCCACCTGGTTCTCTTATTCAGATGCTCCTGAAGGCCTGATGATTTTAATCAGATGTGCTAAATTAGGAGTTCAACGTATTCCCTCACAAACTGATGGAATATACGTATTTAGTTAAACTAGATAGAAATAAACATGTGTTAACTACTGGCAAATTGACTTACAGTACTGTGCAAAAGTCAGAGACCACCCCTCATTTATTTAATTCAGTCATTTAGAAAAACGATTTATTATCCAGGAGATATTTCTTATTAAATTAAATGTAAGATAATTCATCTGCTTACGAAAGGTGGAAATTCAAAGTCTAAGGAAAAGAAGTGGAAAGGAATGAGTTTCTAAAATTTAGAAAATATACAGAGAAAATGGGACTCCTAACAACTGTAGAAGACCTGGTAGAGACCAACACTGTCCCCACCAGATAAACAGCACTTAAAGCTTTCCTCTTTGAGAGAGAGGAGAAAACCAAGCTGCTTCAGATCTGAAAACATCCACAGGTGTTTCTGTCCATCCTTCCACTGAGAGAAGACGACTCAGCGCTATGGGTCTGAAAGGATGTGTAGCTGTCAAGAAGGCCCTCACTAATAAAGAGAAAGCCAATACATCAAACTGTAACAAGCTGCTGGTGGTCTCAGAACAATGGACTGACCACCCCAGAGCCCAGACCTCATCATCACTGAATGTATTTGGGATTACTTGGATCATGAGAAGCAGAAAGTGCAACCAACTTCTAAGACTGAACTTTGAAGGTGTGGAAAAATATCCCTGCAGATTTCTTTTAAAAACTGAATGTGAGTCTCCTGAAAAAATGGAAGCTCTGATAGACGGTAGATAAACTAAATACTGAAAAAATGATATTATATTTAGTCGTTCTGTGTCATTTTCTGTTAAATCAGTCAGAATAATTTGTACTTACCGGCTATTAAGACTTGAAATTAATTAAATAAATGACTTTTACACAGTACTATACTTGTTAACTGTTTTTGGCTTCCATACTTTTGGCATCTTATGTACATTGTGTATAGTGGATGACGACAATGTGGCTGTGACTGACTTTGCTGGACGCAGGGGGTGACGGCAATGAAGCTCATGATGGCACACAGGCCCAGGTTGGTCCACAGCAGCGCCTTGTTTACTCGGCACGCGGCTGGGTGTGTGTAGTACTTGTACATGAAGGTGAAGGCTGCAGTGGCCACGGTATAGAAGAAGAGGGTGGCAAACATGACCGCCACGTACCACCTCTTATCTTCAGCTGCCCCAGTTAACCTGCGGAAGAACGGCGAGACATAAAAGCATTGAGATCGAATGTTAACATGGTTTAGAAGAGTGTTCATACTACTGTGTGTTTTTCTTGGACTGGAGCCACGTTCTGCGAGACAGCATTTCTTTTTTTTTTTTTCCTGCAGCCAAAGTCCTATCATGTCAGTTGTGTTCAGCACTTAGCCAATGCCTCACGTGGCCTCAAGTTACACCCCACAAAACATCTGGGATAAAGCTGTGTCAGAGACAGTGAGTCAAAGCATGAGTCTGTGTGTGTTGAGGGAGACACTCAAAGTGCAACAGCTGATTTTTCATCAAACCAGAATATGATAAGGCGCTAAACTTTACTCAGACCTTTAACAGATGTGGCAGACTTTTGCAATGCAGACTGAACTCCAGTACGAAAGGCCAAATCTATACTGAAGAATCAATACTTCTGATCATGATGTTTCCTTCTGAGAATGAATCCTTACAACACAGTAGTTAAAGCAGCCGTATCATGGAAAGACATGATGCCGTTGTTTTTTAAATAAACAATCAAAAAAGTGAGCATTCATAAAGTTTCTCAATCTACCATTCCATGCCCAGTCCATATGGCAAACATATGGAAATTAAAGCTGCAAAAACAACCCATTTTGAATGTATTGTTCTTGTGATGTCACAAAAAAACCAACACATTTACATATATCCACCCATTCAGCCTACAGCAGTTTGGCTCTGCCCATTCACATTTAAGTTATAAGGAATATTTCAGCTTGGACAGCTGTTTGAATAAGGCTCAGTACGCAGGGCAGCCAATCAGAACAGAGATCATTTACATATCAGTCTCACTGACACAGTAATAAAAGCTTAAGGAATAAAGAGAATGAATTGACTGAGCCCTGACTAAGATATGAGCCCTTTAATATATTTGTTTCAGTGAAACTGAATGCATATTTGATCCTGAAAAAGAACTGAAAATGATTGTTGAACAGAAATATGTATGACAAGAACCTACACTACATAAAACATCCAAGTCACACCCACTGCTGATACGTGTTCAACTGCAAGCACACAGCTTGTATAATCTCCATAGAAAAGCACTGATCAATAGAATAGGACACTGTGGAACAGCCACACATGACCCTAGGGTCACAATGCCCAGTGTCAGGTGTTGTGGTATAAAGAGAGGTATAAAGCCCTCAGCATTGGGCTGTGGAGCAGTGGAACTGTGATAGAGCTCCAGTACCTTTGGGATGAGCTGGAGTGATCCAGAACTGATCATCCAAATGAGAACCTGACCACACTAGTGCTCTTGTGGTTGCAATTAAATCCTCACAGCAATGTTCTGTGTTTAACTCTGTCCCTTTTTCACTAGGTTTCAATGACTTTCTGATTCTAGCAGTATCTGAGCTTAGGACTGGCTTTCTCTCTAACCTATTGGTAGCTAGCGAAGATTCTTTCTCTGGGTAGACAAAGCACTTTTTGTAAGTCGCTCTGGATAAGAGCGTCTGCTAAATGATGTAAATGTAAATGTAAATGTAAATGTTCCAACATCTAATGCAAAGCTTTTCCCATAAGAGCAGCTTATAAGCTGTTACTGCAGCAAAGAGAATACTTTTCTTTTCAGAAGAAACATTGGATGAGCAGATGTCTACAAACCTTTGGACATTTGGTTATTTTATTCTTTAACCCTTGCAGCTTCTTGTAAGATTCATTATTTCTTTATAACATAATGTTTACAATAACAAGTTTAGAATAAGCATCTACAGGCTTCTATTGAACAGCCAGACATGGGTCTATTCTATCAGTGTCTGTATTTACCAATGTTCACTGTAGAAATCACAATGATTTCCCTTTCTTGTCTAGGTATTGGTATCAGGATACTAGGCTGTGTATTGTTCAGTATTGTATTGAAAAGAAAAACAGCAGTATTGCTCATCCCTACTTTGAAAATGGCTCAACCAATCAGATTTTAGAACCGGAATGTTCAATGGAGGTTTAAAATGCAATTCCACCAATTTTTCAAAAATTGTGCATAATTCAATCCCTATCATTCAGAGTGCTTTGATTTTAAACGGTTTATTGCAGATAATCTTACTTAAGATTTTCTTTACAGTGATAGTGATAGGAACCAGGGTCACAATGTCTACAATGCAAATGTAACCCTTTTATTTAATATACAAAATGACCAGTTAACCCTGCTCTGAGTTTTTGTATGTAATGGTAAGAATGATAATACTATCAATAAATAAATAAATAAATAAATAAATACTTTTTATGCACTACTTTGCCTCACAACACCCTACATGTACCTGTCCACCATTATTATTTTTTTTAAATACATTTCAGGCTGAAACCTTATCTCAAAACTGTTGCTGAACAGTGTCTCAGGTATCAGGCAACACAGTCAAAACCGTTTTGTGTGGTAACTTTCTGTGGGGGGCTTTTAGAGGCAATAAACCCTTGGGGTGTCTGGTTCCTGTCAGCACCGCTGTGAACAATGCTGATGTGGTAAGTTTCTCTAGAACAGACCATTTCACACAAAACCACTCTGAATTCATTGTTTACATCTTAAGACTTACACTCTAAACAGCGTTGTGATAAAACAACACATTTTGTGTTATAGACTTTTCTGATTTAACATATTCTGTGTAAACTAACCTAAAATACATGATCAATAACTGAGTATTAAAACATTTCAACACATTTTGTGTTAAAAGAAACACTAAATCTATGTAACACATTTTTTTGTAATATCTAAATCTAACTGATGTCTAGTTAGAGACAGAGTGTGCGGTTTTTAACACATGACTTAAGAGGGCAGTTATGCTGAAACTTTGAAAAATCTGTGGAATTTCAACTTAACTGGCAAAAATGACAAAAAGGACTGAATGCATGCTGGTTGAATGACAACACTGCCCTCACTACCTCACTCACCAGTTCTTATTCCAGGTGTGTGCAAAAGCAGTGATGAGGATGAGCTGAATGAGGATGAAGGCAAAACCTCCCACTACTCCAACATAGTGCCAGGCTGGAGAGAGAGAGAGAGAGAGAGAGAGAGAGAGAGAGAGAGAGAGAGAGAGAGAGAGATAGAGAGAGAGAGAGAGAGAGAGAGAGAGAGAGAGAGAGAGAGAGAGAGAGAGGGCGAGAGAGAGATAGAGAAAGAAAAACAAAAGATCAATTACAATCTTTGACACACAAACATGACAAATAGGGTAAAAATGCTGTAAAGCTGCCTGAGGGTCAGAGTGTCTACAGAATAAGATTTACTGTCTCCTAACAACCGATACCCACCCAAGTGCAGATTCATGAGTGCTGACAAAAATCCACACTAAATATTTGGCTGGAAAATGTTTCAGTGGGCTTATGGTGCCCCCTGGGTGAATCCAAGGAGAAGTGCATTTATACTGGAACTGATGCAGTATGTTTAAATCACGTACAAATGGGACGACTATGCTACTTTAATCACATCATTAAAGTATAGATATTTTAAGTGAATTTAGTAAGAGCTTAAAAATGTATCAATGCATTGTGATGCGTCAACCTGAGGGAGATGATTCTCCTATACTGATATTGGAAAAGTCAAAATGGATTATAATCCATCATATTATAATTGTTCAAAAATATAATTACATTACAAGTAATTTTATAATTATTCAAAAACTACCCAATATCATTTATTTAAAAAAAACATTATTTTATTTATGAAAATCATAATTATTTATCATAATTCATTACATACGAGCATCAATTACTGTTATTTATTTTTCAGGAGATATTTCTAAGGAGATGAGATATAAAATAATAGTAACAATACTTGTGTAAGGAAGAAGAAACTCAAAGGAAAATAAGTGAGTTTCCAAAACTGGAAATGATTGAAGCTACAGGGGCTTAACAATATGTCGCCTGGTAGACCACCAAAACTGTTCATTTCAGATTAACAGCACTTTCATCCTTGACAGAGAGGAGAAAATCAAGCTGCTTGAGATCTGAAAACATCCACAGGAGTTTCTGTCCATCCTTCCACTGTGAGAAGACAACTCAGCACTGTGTGTCTGAAAGGATGTGTAGCTGTGAAAGCTGTGAACCTCACTGAGAAAAGGAAATAGATAAAAAGAAGCTGCTGATGTTGTCAGAACAATGGACTGACCACCCCAGTGTCCAGACCTCAATATCATTGGCAGTGTTTGGGATTACTTGGACTGTGAGAAGTAGAAAATGCAACCAACTTCTAAGACTGAACTCTGGAGGCGTGGAAATTTTAGATTTCTTTGAAAAACTGAAAGCAAATTCTTGGGTCTTCTGAAGTCTCCGGAAAGTCCTGAAGGAAATTCAGGAGTGATTGTGCAGCTTAAGCTTGTTAAGTGGCTGCTATGGTATCCCAGGTAGTTGCTAGGGTGTTCCTATGTGTTTGCTGTGGTACCCCAGATGGTTGCTACAGTTTTGCTGTGCGGTTGCTGGAGTATCCCAGGTGATTGCTAGGGTGTGGTTAGGCGGTTGCTATGTTGTCCCAGGTGGTTACTAGGGTGTTCCTAGGCGGTTGCTATAGTATACCAGTGTCAGATAACAAGAGTGCCACTAATAATCGCTTTATTGGTCACTAAAAATATAAAGAGTGGACATACAAAACACTGAAAAAACAGATAATATTTAGTTGTTTTCTGCTTCTGATAACTGAATAACTTGTAAATAATAGCTGTTTTGACTGAAAATTAAACACACAAAAGGTGGTCTCTAACTTTTGCACAGTATTACATGTGTTCATTTTTGGCCAACATAAAATTGGTGATAAATAAATTGTGGAAACAAAATACAGTTTTTGTCTGTTTTCCACTACTGTGTGAAATCCCCCTGTCACGTCTGCATATTCTGTGTATTTTTAAACTACAATAATAGTCTTATCATATCCCGATGAAGTTGGTAACTTCATGATGCGCTGAATTGTTGAGAAAATGATATTTGTACCCTTCAATGTAAGCTACAACTATAGATCATAAAATATCAACAAAAATACCAAATTAGACTTCACATCAATACTCAGTGCAGATCTGCTCGCTCAATCACTCAGCGAGCAATTCTGCCCTAGAGATTAAAGCTTTAGCACTCAGCAAAGCTCTTATTTGTTGCTCATCAACTCACCATGCAGGAAAGACTCAGTAGGGATGAAGAAGGCAGCTGCAACCATCCCGAGTAACGTGATGAACTTCAAAAACCAGAACCTGGTAAAAGCACAGGAGAGAGTGAATATCTGCTCATGTGTGGATATTTTTAGTACATGCTGAGAAGATAAATCTGTAAATAGTGTACAGATGGACAGAGTCAGAGTAAAAGCTATTTAGAGCCCACAGTGAACTGTGCGTGGATATGTTTGCCCTTCTTGTCGCAGGCTCAGCCCTGTCTGACTTCAGGCCAAGCTCTGCCCTGACTTTAAGAGCTTTAGAGCTGAAGTGCTTTCATATACATTGGGATTGACTCAGTGGCCCTGTTACAGCCTCTAAGAGCCTAATCCCTGCAACTCCACTCTTCAGACGCACGCCAGAGCGCAAGTGAAAGGGATGAAAACAAACACGTCATAATCAAATCTGATGCTTTCCATTAAAAGACAAACAAAGGCTTATGCTAATAGGACAGTATGTAGTTTGACTTGGGCTTTTCTGAGAGTGTGCTCTGGATAAAAGGGAATTCCACTGAATTTTCTCCATAATGCAACTGTCAAGATGTAAAATGCAGAGTGATGTGAAACGTGCCTTTCTAGATACACTTATCGTGTCAGAATTGTTCACAGTGGTGGTGATAGGAACCAGACATCCATAGTGTTTAATGTGTCCGAAGGCTCACAGAAAGTTATTACATGAAATGCATATGAATGCACTGACTGATGTCTGAGACATTGATTTCTGATCATTTTCGTATGAGCTTTTGGGTAACAATGTATTTTTAAAATTCATTCATGGTGGTTGAAAGACAAAAAAGTCCCCAAAGAAAACTTTTTTTTCCCGAATTTATCACTTCTTTACCATCATCAATATCACATATAAAAGCTCAGAAAACACACACAGGTTCACTCAACATTTTGGATAGCAAATAAGACCCCTCACCCATCACTACCACTGTAATGAAATCTGTGCTGGTAAGTTTCTCTCCAATGCACCATTCCACATATGGCAATGTGTACAACTGTACACGTCATACCTTTTATTTCATAACCTACATTACTGTACAAAAACTGTGCATAGGAAACACAATTCAATTGTCATTTGAGGATTGAGTATTAAACTATAGAACTGTTCCTCATTGAAACCATGAGCGTTCACATTTTTTGCACACACACACTAGTCTGTCAATTTTAACGAGTTGGAAAATAACAGAAATGCCCAGCACTAGTGACACTAGTGACAGTACATGTGTGACACTGCACAAGCATGAATGTGGTGCCAATTACTAACATTTTAATAATTAGTTGTAAAAAAAAAATATATATATATATATATATATATATATATATCAGTAATTTCAGTAATCAAATTGACGCTTTTACTGGCGACCTGTCCAGGGTGTATCCTGCCTTCCGCCCAGTGACAGCTGGGATAGGCTCCAGCACCCCACTGCGACCCAGAAGGATAAGCGGTTTAGATGATGGATGGATGGATGGAAATTGACCCTTTTTCCCCTGCTTCTGACTGATACACAACATCACTGACCCGTTATGGATGAGGGCTCGGAAATCCTGGCTGGACTTAACATCAATGAGAAAGAGGGCCATCATCAGGTAGAAGCAGGCTGTGCCGAAGCAGACCCTGTAGACTGCGGAGTAGCCCACCAGCATCTCGCAGTCTCCTCCGCCGTGGGCCTCATCACACACCACGTTAAAGAAAGGCACCTGAAATAAACAGAGCAACTGTTTCACTAACAACACAAGCTGTGTGACTGGGGTTCAAGAACACTTTTTGGCATGCCCCTTTTGCGTGTATCCTTCTGGACAAAGGATTAACTGAACATTTATTGGACGTGACTTGATACAAACACAGTATACTCTGTGCCAATTTCAAAATCAGTGGGTTTAGTCAGTAATGCAAGTAATCTGTAGTCAGTAATCTGGTGCCAGAGCATAATTAGGATCTTATGGGTCCCAATGAAGGGTTCGAATTGTGACAGAGCTCTTGGGGGGTAGAGGTAGAGGGTCACTATGAGGTGACCTATAACAAATCTGGCATAAATTTAGCACTTATTACATAAACAAACAGCAGGCAGTCTAACTTAATGTGGTTGGTAACACTTCATTTAGATGGTCCACTACAGATGGTTTGTAGATGCTCAGTATATCTACAAATATACGCAAATATATAAATGCAACTGAGCTTGAAATTGAGGATGAAATTCTATTAAATCTGTTCCTAACCCTAAACCTAACCCAAACCTAAGCAAAACCTACACTTACTCCTAAACCTAACCCTAACCATAATGTTGATGATAGTTAACCATCACCAGCAAGTTTATTAATTATTTAAATATCTGTAGATCATCTGTAGAGGTCCATGAAATAAAACGTGACCATGCGGTTCACAAATGATGCCCAACTAGCTAGATTGTTAACTAAAACTTCAATCTAGTTTGCTTATTAACTTATTAACACCAAAGTTCTACAAGTTCTACAGATATTGCAGCTGTTTAGCACTAACAGTGAAAAATGGAATAGCTTCATAAAATCAAGGTTAACCCACAGTGTTAGAAATAAAGCTACCATGCAGGTACATTTCTCTATCAACAAGGAACAAACAATGTAAATGTACCCTCAAAAGTACAACAGTGGTTTTAGGGTCCAATTGTGAACCTTAAATAAGTCTTACCAGGTGAAAACTATGTATTTGTAGCTTTTCATAACCTAATATTTTAAAACAGAACAATAAAGTAAAAAGCCTGGGAACGAGACAGGGTGTGGAGTCAATACACCTTAGAATATATAATTTCAATGGATTATGGGAGTTATGTTCCCTGACTAAAGGTACTGAGATATACCCTTGAGTTTACCACCTCAGTGACAAGAGGGGCACTGCCCCAGTGACAGTGTCATACCTTTTCTTCTGAGAGTGCAGAGTAATATGAGAAGTTTATGTTTGCACCTACTAGGCAGAGGAGGTAATCTCTCGACACATCTTTCTTTTTCTTCGTGGATTTGAGGGACTGTGAAGCAACTGCATGGCTTTGTTAAGCACTCACGTTGGGCATGTTTACAGTTTATCTAGGGGATGTTGAAAACATGGAAAAGAAGACCTGTCACTTCATGAGAGGGCATTGATTCAATTGAAATGGGTTGCTCAATTTCAATTTTGTCTTTCTTATAAGAGGTCCCTTTGCTCTTATGCGAGGTCTGGGACCCCCCAGCCCAACCTTAATCTGAGCTCTGTCCCAGTGAAGTGAAAAAAAAAAATTCAATGGGTCCCCACGTATGAAAATTACCTTTAATTTAGTTGCTGTCCAAAAAATCATACTGTTCAACAACCATTTATGACACAGCAGCTGTCCTTTACATTGTGTGAAAATGTCATCAAACATGGAGCAACAGAAATAGAATAAAATCTGTTTACATTAAAAGTTAAGAACATGTTTTGTCTTCTATAAAGTTACCATTTTGGATACACATGTTTTTTGTACAGCATAATTCATTAAAAAAGACTTCTCACTTTTGCTATGTCTAAACCATGTTGGTGCTCTAATGTGGGCTAATACGTAAAATATATTATTAGCCTTTGAGATCCTAAGAGCCTGTATGAGGCCGACACTTCAGTTGCTCACTCTCATAACTTCACAATCTACATATTAGTTTCATGGCAGTTACTAAAAAATGAATACCAGAATAATAAGCATAGGGTTCAGGAGGTTAACCCTTTAAAATTCCAGGCTTGTTACATCCTAAGGCTTATTAGTCAGTAATGACGTGGAAAGCAGTGCAAACTGGCTGAATTATTCTTAGGTTACAGGAGTGGGGAATGGAAGCCTGGACTAGCTGGCAGGTCCTGGACATTTATCATAGCTATCCATGAGAAATGAATGTAAAATTCCACAAATACTGTCCAGTAAAGACTTTAGGTGCCCCCTCCAGTGCAATTGCCCCTCCTGCACTTCCAGTACTTGACCCACTAAGTGCTGCACTAATGATCAAACAAGCCTGATGCTGGAACACTCACATTCTCCCTCACTGCCTCCGACACGGTTCGAGACAACATGAGGCACGAGACAGCGCAGGCCAGGATGTGGAACAGAGTGTACATCACCCGCGTGCTAGAGGACGATTTGATGGGCGGACAGAAGGAGCAGCATAGCGAGCAAGGAGCCGGACCACAGCAGCAGCATATCTGTGTGGAGGTCAGAGAGGACTTTTATTAAAATCAGAATCAGAAAAGCACGTGTGACATATAATGTACTACACAGACAAGTACACAAGACTGTTAACAAATATTCAAGAGGAATATTAAGAGAAAAATAAAAGAATGTAAAATAAAAGATGAAGACAGATGAAAAAGAGCCAAAAAGAGATGTAAATATGTAAATATGTGCAAAGTCTAAGAAGATATATAATGCAGTATTATTTACAATGTCTTACATGTTTATATGTTATTAAACAGAGGAAATTTCAATTTCCAGTTGCTGGAATTTGCAACGTACCACTCAGGATCAAAGTCCTGAGAGACATTTTTGGCCATGTTTTCATTTGGAGGAGAAGTAAGCATAGTCTTACTTTACCTCATCATTCTACGGTGTGCCAGCCAGTGCTCCATGGTGGAGGTCAGAACCAGAATCTTTATTTCTTGCATGAATTTTTATTGCAAATACCAACAGATATCAAACATATAATAGGGTTCAGTTGGTTAACCCTTTAAAATCCCAGCCTTGTTACATCCTAAGGTGATTTGAAGGTGAATAGAAAATATCACTGTAAGCGCAAATCAACCGCTACTGCTTGATTTACTGTGTAGCTACATGTATGCATATGTATGTCTGATTTGTATGTGGAGTTAAAATATATGAATACAGTGTTTCCTAAACATAGGCCATACTTGGGCAACCCCCCCCCCAAATTATATCTTGTCCCATTTGAACAAATTCCAATGGGAAAATATTTCATATGGTCATAAATAAACACAATACTTAATTAAATAAATAACTGCTGTGAATTCAGATTTAAATAGGAAAAAAAAGTTTTAATTAAGTAGTGAGTGCTGCATTTAACTTTAAATAGGTTAACTGACAAAGTCTGTGTTTTGAATTCTGTTAACTTATTTGAATTTTAATGAACTCATTTTAATGAAGGAATAAACTATGAAATGTAATGTGTTTCATTTCTGTCATGTCAAAACCTTATAACTCATTTAACATTTTTTCACATTTTGAAAACTCTACCTGCACAAAGTCTGACTACATTAATGCACATCACAATTAAGAACAATGGTTCCTTGTCTTGTTTTCTATAAAGCTCCAATTTTGGAGATACAAATTTTGTTACAATAGCAACAATATGCAAATTAAAATATGTAAAGATTTCACATTAACATTAAGGCGCTCTGTGCTGTAAAAATGCAGGCAAAAGTCCTTCTTTAGGTGTACACCAAGTCTGTGTGGCACACACATGGATTGAAAAGATGCTGGAAGAGGAATTCTGGCCTCTGAGCTCCCGGATAGGAACTGTAGTGTGTGGTATGGCTGCGGTTCAGTCATGCAGGGACAAATCTGCAGAGTTCTACTTTTTTGCAGTGAGCGCATTTGGCACAGTCTGAAATTAGAATCTTTTTAGGTCTACAGTCCACAGCCTACATTCGTGCGTCTGCCTGTCTGCTTGGGTATGAGCGTTTAGAGCGAGGGTGGGGTAGCTCAGTTAGGGATTAATCCAGATTGCTCAGAGCATCTGGATTTTTCTAATGGATCTGGGCTGGTAGGCCGGACGGTGGCCAGGCAGTTTTTATCCTGTGCTAAACCCAGAGACATGGATTGGGCTACAGCGACAGCCATTTCCTTTATGGTCATCCATTTCCTCAGATTAATGAATTCATGTTCGATTTGTCTGCTTCACCTGCTGGATTGGAGATGATCTAACAGCACATGCCTGTAGGTATGAACAGTATGACCTCTCACAGAAGCACAGAACATCTGTCTATTTTCCTCTACTGAAGTGTCTCTTTTGCATACATATATGTACTTGTACTAAAGACTAAAAGTCATGACACACAAGTCTAGTTCACTTCTGGTGTACACTTCTGGCTACACTTTTTTCATCATACAAATAGATTTCATTAAGGTTATTGAAGAAAAAAAGCATAGTTGAACTTAGGGACTTCCAAAACAGACAGCAGTTGCATTTTATTGATAAAAAGACAAGGCAACACTGTACCTTGCTTGGTCCCACACTCTTCAGATTACTAATGGGTTAATTTTATCACCAGCCCTGACTCTTTTCAGCAGACTTTTCAAAGAGCTCTGACGTTGGGCTAATGTAACACAGATGCATGCAGTACATCTGTCCTATGACGTTTAGGAGTTTAGATTCAGCAGAGAAAATCAAAAAGCTTACAGTGGATGTGTGAACCACTCTAAACCGCTTTGTACTGGATTTTTTAAGCAAAAGCCATTAATCACTAGTCTGAAGAATAAAGTTGTGTTAGAGCAGATGGACCACTGGAAAAAAGAATAAACTGTACTGAACTTTATTTAAGGTCCATTAAGAGAATAACTTTACAAGCTTGTCACCTTAACATTTTAATTTGGAATGAGATCTTGGGGGTAAGATTTAGGGCTCGACCGATATGAAAAATGTACGCCCGATATTGATACTGATACTAAGTAGCTAAGAATTCTGATAACTAATAATATCAGCTGATATAATTTATATTTTTTTATATTTTAATTTTATGCTCAGTTGAGATTAAACAGTGCTTTACTAACAGATATGATTGACAATTCTCAGTTGTTATACTTCATAATCTCAAATGTGGCTGGTGGCTTAGTGGTAGGAGAGGGGAGCCAGCAACCAGAAGGTTGTGGGTTCGGACTGAGTATAATTGGTTGTACCTTTCCGCAAGGCACCTTTCCCTCCCGCTAACCCAGCCGGCGCTGCTCTGCTGGTGACGCTGTGCTGCTCCCAGATGGGGCATAGTTACAAATGACAAATTTTCCTTGTAGGACTAATAAAGTATATAAAAGAAGCTTATAGCCTTAAATAATATAGATATTGCAGCACTGTGGGTGGAGCTACTCAGATTTCTTTCACATTAATTACCTTACATTAACTACCTCTACCTTTTTCTTATTTTCCATTCATTCTGTTCATAAAGTTTTATTATGTGTGAGTTGTAATGCTAAGGTTAAGTTTGGGTATGATCTGCATTTTTTAATATAACTATGATAGTGGATCACCTCAGCCTGTGTTGGTATGATATAGCTAATCAGAGCATGACTCCCCCTGGATTCAATAGTGGAGAGGGTTTATCCTGTAATAGAGACTGAGTGTCTGAATCTGTGACCAAAAAAAGTAATAATTAGCAGATTTTTGGCAATATTATTGCTAATACTGATAAACCTGTGAAACGTGATTATCAACTCATTTTATTGGCCGAATGATATATCGATCAGGCTATTTATACAGTCATATGCAAAAGTGATTTGTTATCATTCTAAGTGAAAATATGTTAACACATCCTTTACAGGGTGCAAACTTAAGTGTGGCATTTTTCCATTTTAGTTCACAATTTCTCTTTATTTGCTGAGTTTGACCTATTGGAAAAAATCCTTTTTAAAAAACATTTTTTTGTTTAATTTTGTTCCAGTATTTTTTTACACAATGATTGTCCATTAAAATGTTCAGAAGAACTTTTATTATGTATGAAGTAGTTTGGTAACCCTAAAGTAATAAGACACACAGGACTAAATATACACATACATGCACCAACCAGCCACTTCATTAAGTACACCTACTTGTTTCTACGCTCATTGTCCATTATATCAGCTCCACTTACTATATAGGTGCACTTTGTAGTTCTACAATTACAGACTGTAGTCCATCTCTGCATTCTTTATTAGCCCCCTTTCATCCTGTTCTTCAATGGTTAGGACCCCTGCAAAACCACCACAGAGCAAGTATTTTTTGGGTGGTGGATCATTATCAGCACTGCAGTAACACTGACGTGGTGGTGGTGTGTTAGTGTGTGTTGTGCTGGTATGGGTGGACTAGACACATTAGGGCTGCTGGAGTTCTTAAACACTGTGTCCATTCAATGTCCACTTAACTTGTTGGCCTATCTTTTAGATAGGTAAAGTCAGAGTAGGGGTGGGCAATATGACAAAAACATTATATCATGTTACTTTAAGACATTTTCACGATATACATGATATTTAGTTTTTCTGTGATTTAATAAGTAGGAACAGACAAAATAGAACCTGTAGTGCCACATATAAAAATACTATAATGATGATAAACCAATAACTACAATGGTTTTTATTTAATGTTTTACATTTCAATATTTTGCAAATATTCCGCTGCACTAAATCCAATTAAACAGGCCTAATTATGCTTACTTTGTAATGAAACATGTTGTCAGTCAGTGTTCTTTAAGTACTGAGGATATCCACAATAAGCTCAGAACAGCGAATTGTGACATTATTATCATGGTAATAATAATATATTGACATATTGTCCACTCCTAAGTCAGAGACAATAGCTTGTCTGTTGCTGCACAGTTTACGTTGATCATCCTCTAGTCCTTCACCAGTGGTCATATGACGTTGCCCACAGGACGCTATTGACTGGATATTTCTGGTTGGTGGACTATTCTCAGTCCAGCAGTGACACTGAGGTGTTTAAAAACTCCAGCAGCACTGCTGTGTCTGATCCACTCAGACCAGCGCAACACACACTAACACGCCACCACCACGTCAGTGTTACTGCAGTGCTGAGAATGATCCACCACCCAAAAAATACGTGCTCTGTCCATGGGGGTCCTGACCACTGAAGAACAGGGTAAAAGGGGGCTAACAAAGTATGCAGAGAAACAGATGGACTACAGTCTGTAATTGTAGAACTACAAAGTGCTCCTATATAGTAAGTGGAGCTGATAAAATGGACAATGAGTGTAGAAACAAGGAGGTGCACTTAGGATGTGCTGGTTGGTGTAAATAGCCACATTTTGTAGTTTTGTTAGTTTAGTTTAGTTGATCTCTTTGTCATCTCACTTTTCTGTTCAACAGTGAAACTTTGTGCATTTTCCACTTATTATTATGACTTAACTATTATATACATGATTAAATTAAAAGCCTTGTAAGCTTTGTCTTCGTACTAAAGACTAAAAGTCACGATACATGACACACAACCCTCAGCTGTGAAAACAGTTCACACCTCTCCACCGCGTCGAGACAAAGCACAGCACAGCACAGCTGCAGCTGCACTAAATTGCGTATCTGCGCCACAATAAAAACAGCATTTAAACACGATAAAAACATGCATAAATTTTGACTGAAATTTCAGAAAGCTAGGTCATTCAGCGCGGTTTAAAGTGAAATTCTTGAGAAACTTTTTCACAGTAGTGGTGATCATGACATATGAAGAGTTTAATACCTCTAAAAACTCCCTCACAGAGAGATAATTCACACATTGGTTATGAATATGTTGAAACAACGTGTGTTATAATAGTTTTGAGAAGGTTTTGGCCCATTTTGAACACACAGAGGTGGAGAGATACATGCAGGGGTTTTGAAAGGCAAAAAAAACCCAAATAAAACGTACTTTTTCAAATTAGCCGCTATTTTACCATAATTACCACATCACATAAAAAATCTCACTGGTTGTTTAGTATAAGAAAAAATGGCTGTATTTGTGTTGTGTACATAGCAACCCCTGGTTTTTATCACCGTCACTCTAAAGAAATCTAAGTCGGCAAGTTTTTCTACAATGCACCACTTAACACCAAATCACTCTGAAATACTTTGTTTACATTTAAGTGATGGAATTATACAGGAATTTTGAATCACTGGTGGAATTACCCTTCATATTCATCATTACAGATAAAACTGTATCATTGGGGTGGAGCCCCACAATAACATGATGCTTGAGGCCCCCAGATGTTTAGAAACAGCCCTGATATGCAGCCTTTCACCACTAAACATATGTGCCGCTGACAGAGGCATAGACATCCAGGGCTAATCAGAGGTTCAGTTACTCTCATCCTCTTAACTGGCTCTGCAGATAACATTTTCCATGATGCTACGTGCACAAAAGGCAATATGTATTTCCACTAAACTGACCCAAACTAACTTGTAACATGGCCTAAGATGACTTTATCTGACTCATCAGCAATCAGTAGCTTAGGTAAGTGTCCAGTCTGCGTACTGTTCTGGAAAATATGGATTTACAGACTGACAACTACTGGCTGCTTGTGCTCGTATTGAGCTGGTCACAATGCAACCATGCAAGGTTAATAGGTTCAGACACAGAAATGGAAATTCTTTAGAGAGCTCATCATTGAATGCCATCATGTTATGTGAGGACGCTCGCTGCACATCAAATTATTTCAAGTTGGCACAAAAAAACATGTAACAAGCTTGGGAGCTTAAACACTTAAGCAAGTACTGAGCCTTAAATGGAGATCTGCTGTTTACCATCATGAATCTAGAGTTTTCTCTGACACAGTTTTTCACATTCCTCTGATATTAGATGTATACCATGATACAAAAGTCTGGAATCAATGGTCTTAATAACGGTCAGTATTTTGGGAGCAATATCAAGTTATGACATGGTAAAATAAAGAAAATTATTAAATTATTAACTATATTTATAGAAATTTCATTAAAAATTACCAAAAACAATACAAAATATTTCAACTCTGTGCAATGTTAGCATCATAGTAGTATGTATTTGCAATAAAACTGGTTTTATATTATTGAAAACAGTAATTTCAGTAATCAGTAATCAAACTTTTGAACATTGGTGTATCTTTGAAAGTCATCCCAGACACAACCCATATCACCTAACACCACTTCTGTGAAATGTTCAAGCATGAATTCATTTACATTGGAACTGAATTAATGCCAATATAGTTCAACTTTGGTGTTACTTTTTCTGGTTAGAAAACTGACTGTCAAACTGAAACAAGCCTCAACACCACAGCCCTCATTTCCACCTGCCTGCACATAATAAACAACAGCATTACCTGAAAAATGAAAGTGATATGTCATTAAGTCAAAAGCCAGCTTCAAAGGGAGTTCATGAGTAGTTTGAATATTAACAAAATACATGTGCTGAGGAAAAGAATGACCTCCCTTCTAACAGGAAAATTACAATGTGAAGTTTTAAGGTGACATGCCAAGCTCCATCATTCAATTATTAGGTAGCGATATTAAGTGATTTTATACTCTTTTGTATAAAATGTTATTTTGTAATAAAGGCAAAAACACCAGGAACTCCAAAAGAGGTAACACCAATACCTGCAGATAGATTGACATCTTGTACATCTTCTATCCATTTCTTGTATAATCTGGAATATATATATATATCCCCTGTGTACCCTGCACCTCATTTATCTACCTCAGACTCACTGTACATTGGAATGGTGCAATACTGATGTACACTAATGTGTATATTGTGTATATGTGTAGAATTTATATATATCTATATAGCGTAATTTGATTTGACTTGATTTACAGAAGTCAGTACTTGTGATGTGGTGAGAATTTAAAAGCTCCAAAAGAATGCTCCATTCTAGAGGAATTTACAGAGTCAGAATTGTTCACAGTGGTGGTGATAGGAACCAGATGTCCAAGTTTAGAGTTTAATGCCTCTAAAAAAACACCCAGAAAGTTCACAGAAAGTTTTTACATGTAACGGTTACTAATATGTAACCTGATACCTGAGATATTGTTTAACAATAGTTCTGAGATAAAATTTTGGTCTAAAACATGTTTTTCCCTCACTGATGAGAGGTGTGTGCAAGGTGTTCTTAGGCAAAACAGCCTCCCCTCCCTAAAAACGTTCTCCCATATTTACCACTAATTTACCATTGTCAACATTTAAGACAAATAAAATGACTAAATGGCTATAAAGGACATCACAACCCCTGGTTCCTATCACCACCACTGTAAAGAAATCCAAGCTGCAATTTCTCTTGCATGCATTTTACATTAAATCACCTTGAATACCTTTTTTAATGTTTTAATGACTGTAGTATACAGAAATTTTGAAAAAGTGGTTGAATTATCCTTTAATTGATTAAGGTGGCAGAGATGCTACAAAAAAACAGGCCTTGCATTCAAACCTCATCCAACAGGTCTCTCTCACCTGATAGGCCACCATATTGAGAAAGTAGCTGTAGACACCGCTGCGGTTTATTGCCTGAGCAGTCGACATGGCTGCTTATTTGGTCAGCAGCTTCAGAAGGACGTCCTCATTAACCCCTGAAAGTTACACAGTCTACCAAAAATCCAAGAGGGAAAAAACAAGGGTTGAAAAAATGATGCTTTGTGAAGATCCCTGGGTTTCTTCTGTCAGGTTATCATCCACTTCTCTTTCTCCCAGTGGTCAACTGCAGTCCTTGTGACATAGATCCCCTGCTGTGCACATGCTCATCCTTCCATCCGTAGACAAACACGAAACGAACAGTATATCCTGTTAACTGGCCGGTGACAGTGAGCAGTGCCAGCAGAATGTGTGAGCGAAGCTGGATGCCCAGTGGCCCTCCCTCCTGTTCCCTCTCCCTTTACCCAGGGAGATTAGCCAGCCAGAGTGGAGGGAGGAGGGGGGATCCGTGTGTTAGTCCATCTGTCCCTCCCTTCCCCCCAGGGCCCACTCTACTGCCCCACACAGGGACACCAGCAAAAAAAAAAAAAACAGGCCTAATCGGTTTAGGGCAAATAATGTAATTACTCGCAATGCTGTGATTTCACTGTGGTCTTGGGAATGCCTTTACGTTCCCTCTTCTCACTTAGGTGACACATAAGGGTTGTCCTGTTCGAAACGACAAAGAGGCCATGCATAATCCGGTCATTATACCTCGACCCAGAAAGAGAGAGAGGGAGAGAGATAGAAAGAGGAGTACATTCAGCCTCACATTCCTCCGCATACAGTGCACCCACAAACAAGGAAAATGTCCACTTCACAGACATCCCCTTTAAAGGGCCTGTAGCATGGAAACAAATGTAAATAAAGCTTGATGTAAAATGTAAATATCATTAAAACCTAAAAGTGTACCATTCACTCTCCCCAGTACATATGGTCCATATGTGGAATCTAACTTGCAAAATCAGCTTGTTTTAAATTTAGCATTTTTGTGATGTCACAAAAAAACAACATATTAACATATATCTGCCTATTCAGCAAATAGCAGTTTAGCTCCACCCATTCACAGTGAAGTTATAAGGAGTGTTTCAGCCTGGAAACTTTTTGAACGAGGCACAATGCAGGGCAGCCAATCAGGGGAAAAAAATTACCTGAGAAAAAAACATTCTAAACTTCGAATGGACGTAAATGTGACATGATTTTTTAGTAACGTTTTATTTCCCCTGCAGATGCTTTGAAGATGCTCAGCTTGTCTTTAACGAACAAAATGTCAACAAAATGCAACAGAACTTAAGTCTTACCTCTTAACCTAAATCTAAACTTACCTTTAACCTGAAATTTAATTCGAATTCTAAATCTAATCTTTCAAATACTGGTGATAGTCTGACAATATGAGCATCTGGATATCAGCATCTATCATCTATCTACAGGTGCTCTCAAAATAATAATAATGCTTTTTGGTTGCTTTTGACCATTTCTATTGATCACATCATCGTGACATTTGAACACATTGTAAAAGCCAGCAGGTATTTTCAAATTCTGTGCATGGTACAAATATAAAGGCACAGTGACAAAAACAGCCTGTTTAATTCTAAGGGATAAAAAGATTTTAGAAAATGGTCATATAGAAATGATTTATGATGGTTTAGGTAAAATGTAGTATAGTATGCCTTTAATTCACCTCTAACAATAATAAGCATTATGAAAAATTATGACATTGTTTTTACATGGTAGTGCAGTGTGTGTGTTATTGGCCTCAGTTATCAGTCGTAGGCCGGCCTCTGGGTATATTTGGGTCAGTGTGTGTGAGTGTGTGGAGATGTGCGCCGGGATTATCCTGGAGTTTTTCAGTGCTCGTCTCAGTCTGAGTGACCTTCCCTCTGCCGTAGTTTGACACACTAATCCAAATTGCAGGGTCCAGCCAACAGACACAGTTGGACTCTTTCACAGACTGAGTAACACACTGTACTGTGTACAGTTGATGTGAGTGTTAATACAGAAGCACATGAGTGAAGTTAGTTTGGCATGCAAGTCAGAGCTATCTTTTTAGTATGTTACAATTTGTTACTGTCTGCTGTTTTCTACAAGGCGTAACTAAACAATGTTACTGTCCGCCGTTTTCTACAAGGCGTAACTAAACAATGTTACTGTCCGCCGTTTTCTACAAGGCGTAACTAAACAATGTTACTATCTGCTGTTTTCTACAAGGCGTAACTGAACAATGTTACTGTCCTCTGTTTTCTACAAGGCGTAACTAAACAATGTTACTGTCCGCCGTTTTTTACAAGGCGTAACTGAACAATGTTACTATCTGCTGTTTTCTACAAGGCGTAACTAAACAACGTTACTGTCCGCCATTTTCTACAAGGCGTAACTAAACAACGTTACTGTCCGCCATTTTCTACAAGGCGTAATTAAACAACGTTACTGTCCGCCATTTTCTACAAGGCGTAACTGAACAACGTTACTGTCCGCCGTTTTCTACAAGGCGTAACTAAACAACGTTACTGTCCGCCGTTTTCTACAAGGCGTAACTGAACAACGTTACTGTCCGCCGTTTTCTACAAGGCGTAACTAAACAACGTTACTGTCCACCGTTTTCTACAAGGCGTAACTGAACAACGTTACTGTCCGCCGTTTTCTACAAGGCGTAACTGAACAACGTTACTGTCCGCCGTTTTCTACAAGGCGTAACTGAACAACGTTACTGTCCGCCGTTTTCTACAAGGCGTAACTGAACAACGTTACTGTCCGCCGTTTTCTACAAGGCGTAACTAAACAACGTTACTGTCCGCCGTTTTCTACAAGGCGTAACTAACCAATGTTACTGTCCGCTGTTTTCTACAAGCCGTAACTAAACAATGTTACTGTCTGCCGTTTTCTACAAGGCGTAACTAACCAATGTTACTGTCCTCTGTTTTCTACAATGCATAACTAAATAATTTTATCATCCAGCATCATCTACAGTGTGTAACTAAATAACGTTACTGTCCGCAGATGTTATAACGGAATAATGGAACTTTCCAGTGTCTCTACTGTGTATCTAATTAACGTTACTTTCCACTGTTGTCTAAAAAATTAACTAAATGGATTTAGTGTCAACTGTTGTCTACAACGCGTAACTAATTAAAGTTACCATCAGCTGTTGTCTACAATACAACATTAAAATATTACACTAACTTACCTGTTGCTACTAAAAGTACTTCCAAAATACAATCTTAAAAAAGTTCTTTTTTTTTTTAACAAAAAACATTTGTTCAGTCATTGGATAAGGTGATGAGATTATAGTGACTAAAAGTCAAACATCCTCAAAAGCCAACTTTGGCAATAATAAATTTAAAATAGTTTCACAATAATTTACAAATCAATGAAATCATGAATATTTAAATCTTTAAAAAATAGAATAAATAAATATATGCAGCAGATGTATGCTATGAAGAGTCATTTCTGACTCATTGTGTACTCCAGTTGCACCCGTATTCACCAGTTCTAAGAATTTACGAGTGAATTAGTTGCACCCCAGGAAATACTGGCAGTTCCAGCAAACCCACTGTTCCAAACCCTGACTGGCTTAATATGATTATGTAATCCAGTCAATGAGACACAACTACTGTAACACGTAACAACACAGGCAAGGGGTTCACGTTTCTTTTGAAGAATGAAACACACTGTAATTCTGAAACAATTCTATGTTTTATGTCTTAAAGTTCAAGCAAGAACAAAACGTCCAAGTAAACAAAAAGCAATCACTTCTACTTGGTATTCAGAATAGCAGCATAACAGCGTAACGCCAGCACCTCAGTAGGACTCCTGCTAAAACGGTCCCATCAACAGATGTCATACTAGGAAATTCCTGTTTATTTTAAAGTCTCTAATCCTTGGTTGGCTAATTCACACAGCCATGAACTTCTCTAAACCAATTAGAGTCCTTTAAAGTAAACGGGTCGTACACACAACAAGCCTTCACTCTCCCTCTCACAGTGAAAAGTGGGCTGGCTGGAGGCCCTTTATCTGGTTGATAATTGGGGGCCGTGTGAAAGAGAGGGACACTAGCCACACTATTCAGACAAAAGCACAGTTGTTGACGTACAATGCAAATCATGGCAGCCTCACAAGAAACGTTTAAGCTATAGTTTTTTAATGGGCTTTAGAGGAACTGATGGGGAAATCCACAGTAACCCTGAAGTTCTAATCCATTTCTGAATGATCTCAATCGTGTGATTCAACCAGAAATCACACAGCCGTCTATTATTACAGAACTGAATTTGGTGGATCCACCATTCATGGCACTGTGCTGGATATGCTAATTTCATAAAAATGACTTGAGATGATTACAAAAATTACAATATAATCGGATCGTTTATTCGCTGTTTTCTCTGAACCACGTTGGTGCTGTAATATGGCTTAATCTATGCATTGTTTACTTACTCGTTAACTATGAAGGCAAATTGCATAAGTAATAATATAAGGGATTCAAAAAAGACATTAGGGGACTCTGTCGCCATGAGCACCCTGTGCTCGATTTCCCACCTGCACCAACTTGTATGTACTAGACATGGTGTATATGTATTGATGGGTATCAACACTGGGCTGATTTAAGATCTGAAATTGGAGGGCAATAAAGAATGAATTTGATTCATTCAATCCTGTAATAAATCTACTTGACATTCTCATTGTGAATGAGTACTCATCATGGTTTATGCAGTGTTTTAGCTATGTGTTTCTGTGGTGTAGTAGAGCATTTGAGTACAATATAAAAATGTATTTTCACTTGTCAAAGTATTATGGTCAATACCATTTTTTAAAAAGTAAAATACTGTATGTCAGAATTACTAGTTGTACTAGAAAACTGTTGATTTACAGTTAAAAAAAACTATATTTCTAAAAAATAAAATCACCGTAATTTCACAGATTTTTGCCATCATTTAAAAAAACTGCTACTGTTAATTAACGGGTTTTGTCTGGCACCCCTGCTTCTAGAGTATTTTTTGTGTTTTTTTTACAGTGTAGTTTGAGTATGATAGCCTACTTTTAGATGCTCATCTTAAGAGTGATTCAACTGAAAAATAGCTCATTTTAATGCGTAATAATATTTCAAGAAAAGAAATTGATCGGTAAAAGTGGTGGCATCCCATCTCTAACAGTTGCACCACTGCAGCTGAAAAACCCATAAGAAATCCTACAAGAACATGCGAGTTATAGTTATGTGCAAATGTTTGGGCACCCCTGGTCAAATTACACATTCAGTTGATTTTCTAAGTGGAAGTAG